CTCATCCTCAAATCTATGGATTCCCTAATTCACACTTTCCTCGCCTCCTCTCCTTCATCTCCTCGAAACCCAATCCTCCTCTTCGCTCTTCCAAACCATCAATATCCCAAGTTTCTCGCAAAAGCGTCAAACATAACGTCTCCACCTCCGATTCCCCATCCGTCGCAGTCCCGGCGGCGGATGTCCTTACTGCCGGCGAGATCCGCGGGGAGAAGTTCGATTGGTATTCTCATTGGTATCCGCTTGCGCCGGTGTGTGATTTGGACAAGCGGGCGCCGCGCGCATTGAGAGTGATAGGGCTAGACCTGGTGGTGTGGTGGGATAGGGAGGTGGGTCAATGGAGGGTATTTGCAGACCGCTGTCCCCATCGTCTCGCGCCGCTTTCCGAGGGGCGGATCGATCGTTGGGGTCGTCTCCAGTGTGTCTACCATGGCTGGTGCTTTGATGGGGATGGAAGCTGCAAGCTCATCCCTCAGGCGCCGGAAGATGGCCATCAGGTGAGCTCTTTTTTAGCGTCTGAATTGGTTCTTAGAGCTTTCGGTTGGGTTTCTACCCATTCAGTTGTTTGCTTGAACTTAGCAAAAATGCTTAGAACACAGTGAATACGTTACACTCCATGGCTAATTTAGATGCGTTTACGAAATCAATATGGATTTTAAACTCTACAGCACCTTCAAGTTATCTCAGAACTGATAATTTTGTTTTCACTTAGAAGATTAGTGCAAACACAAACCTCATCCTCAAAAACCTGTTCTCTCTAAAAGCAACCAAAAGGACTTCCTAGATGCTTTACAATTCTTTTTCATTTTTTAGCCGGCTGAAAACAATTACCTATGCGGCAGATAAGATTCATATTCAAGGATGAGGAAGACGAATGGGTTTAGAAGTTATTTCATATGAAATATGCACCATTGTGGTATCTACCTTTATTGATGCTCAATCACAATGCAAGAAGGTAGCCAAATTAGTTCTATTGAACAAAAATTAAGATGTTATCTTTTTAGAACCTGCTCTGATATGGGTGCCCCCAACATAGGAAGAACTGATAATTAAAATTTTTTCTTTGCTCGGAGGTCTGAATTTTTCAGGTGTACTCATCAAAATTGCTTTGGCACCTTTTCAAACTAAACCAGTTAAAATTAACCGTAAAATTCTTTCCTCTATCTTTCATGCCGCTGATATATATTAAATAACCGGTGATATATGATTTCTTTGTCTATATACTTTTGTAGGTTCATGCTTCTAGTAAAGCCTGTGCAACTAGTTACCCTTGCTGTGTGCAGAATAATATAGTATGGTTTTGGCCACAGACTGAGCCTCAGAATAAAGATATTTTGATGAAGAACAAGCCTCCTAGAATCTCAGAGCTTGAGGACTCATCATACACTTGGCGATGCGTGATATGCCTTATGGGTAAGATGCTGCAAAAAATTTCAATTGTGCTTTTGTACTTTTGACATTTACAACTCCTACAAATCAGAAATTTTTATGAGACAATTTTCATGACTAATAGACAGCCCCGAAGATTTTCATCTTGGCTAAGAGAGTGCCGTTTTTAATATCCTGAATTATCTTAGCAATGTCAAATTAGCGTCAACTATGCTTATGGCAGTGTGAAAAAAAAAATATCTTCGTAATTTATTGTTCTTGCAAATGATTTTAATGGTTCAGCTGCTAGTGATTTCAATTAAGTGTTACTGGTATCAGCTTATTTCAATTATTTACCTCCTCAACATTCCTATCCAAGAGGAATTATTTCATCTTAAGCCATATTTAGAAGAAAGTTAATGATGTATAGATGATCATGCTATCCCACAAGAGAATTTGGGCTTTATCTATTGTTGAGTGCAGCCGCAGCCAACCCTCTTTTTCTAGTAGGCTTTTAATTAAAAAAATGCTAAAATATGTGATTTTTCTTTTTTTATTATTATGTTTATTTCTTTCCTGTTTTTTCTTATGTAATCCTCTATATAAGGGGCCAAAATTTAACCAACATGGGATATGGAGTATTCCACTTTTCTTCCCCCTTATTTCTAATATAATTCTTTCTTACATGTTATGAGAACTAGATTCTGTCTAAGTGATGTCTGACAACTACAAGAGAGCCCTAATTGGGTCTAGAAAAGGAGAAATGATTGGTTTTCCCTCCACCTTAATCATTCCATCATTTCGTGAGTCTCCATGGAGCATTCACTGCTTCAAATCACTTCCAACAAACTGAATAGGAAGAATTGCTTTTAATGGTTTTGTTCAGTTCAATCGGTAATCCTTGAAAGAGGAACTTGGATACTTAAAAGGCACCATTCAATAAATTGAAATGGTCAACCCTTCCTTTTTATCATGTAAAACCAATAATGCCTTAGTAATGCCTTCGCTTATTAATTCTATGGAAGAATACATTAGATCCTTTTACTTTGTCTACATTATTGCTCAAATAACTAGGGAAAAAGTCAACATGGTGTGCTTAAATCTTGAACATTCTGCTCAATTGTTTGAATTATGAAATCAAGTTGGTGACCTCAAGCAAGGAAGCTTGAGTGTCATAAAAGACTTCACTACTCACAAAAATATGGCAAGAGCTAGATAGGTTTGAGCTAAATGTGTGTGGGGATTGTGCTTGTAAATACATCAAACTTATAAACAAAATGAGAATTTTTAATATTAAATTTACGTGAAAAGGTTGGAGTAGCTCCAGTGGAAGATAAGATTAAAGAGAGTCGTCTTAGATGGTTTGACCACATTAAATGAAGGCCTTTCAATGACCCAGTTAGGAAAGTTGAGGTATTAGATTTGACTTATGTTAAGAAAGGTAGAGGTAGACCTAAAAAGACTTGGGTAGAAAATATTAGAAATGATCTTTCTTTATTAGATTTAAATGAGAATTTGACTTTTAACATGACACAATGGCGAAAAAGGATTCATGTAGCAGACCTCACGTACTGGGACAAAGGCTTGTTGTTGTTGTTATTGTAGGTTTCAATAAAGAATTAGATTAGTGCATGAAAGAATCCTATAGATTTGTACACTTCTCAAAATTGAAGAAGCTTTTGTTGAAATCTGAAGGGAAGAAAGCAGACGAAGAAAATGCTAGGGGTACTAAAAATACTCTCATACTCGAAGGATCCGTTCTTTTCATAAGAAGTCTAGAGCAAAACCCATGATATGATCCAAGGTGTGGAAAGAGTGGTAATCTTTGATATGATGTCCGTAAAAAGACTAATTACACAACAAAAATAACAACAAGCCTTTATCCCATCATGTGGGGTCGGCTACATAAATCTTTTTTCTCCATTGTGTCCGATTAAGAGTCAAACTCTCAGTTAAGTCTAATAAAGAAAGTCATTTCTAATATTTTCTAACCAAGTTTTTTTATGTCTACTTCTACATTTCTTAAGATAAGCCAAATCTACATCTACTCTCCTAATCGGGTAATCGGAAGGCCGTTGTTTTATGTGATCAAACCATCTAAGACGACTCTCTCTAATCTTTTTTTTATTTACTTAAAAGCAACGTGGTAGGTTGGTTGAATTTTGACAGTAATATTAACTGTCATTTATTCAATTCACGAAAAAATTATACTAATTAATCTTTAAGTAATTAAGTATAAAATTATAACAAAGCACAATGTATTCGCCGCTTTGAAGATTTGCACTGTGATTTTTAATTCGGGCGAATGGTTTCAATTTTTGAAGACCCGCAGTAATTTTTAAACCGGATGGATGATTTTAATTTTTGAAGACATGCACCGTGATTTTTAATTTGGACAAATGATTTTAATTTTTGAAAACTCATGCTGTGATTTTTAATCCGGACATATTCTTTCAAATTCGTAGGTCTCGTGTCATTGATATATGATTTGGGCAAGATGAATTTCAAAATTGAAGGCTTTACGTCGTTGATCTCTGATCCATATAGAATGATTTCAAATTTGAAGACTTTGCGCCATTGATCTTTGATCCGGGTAGAAAAAATAATGGCAAGTGCCGTCCTGACCTCCCTGTGATGGAATGGGATATCGGGAGGCTACCGAAATTGCTTGAGGAGACTGTCGAATTGAAGAGCAGTGCAATCTAAATTTTAATTTATTAATTAGTTGATTAAATTCAATTAAAATTATTTAATTAAAATAAAATTATTTAATTAAAATTTAGTAATTGGAATAATTAATTAATTAAACTTAACTAATAAAAATAATTAACTAATTGAAATTGATTACTCAATTAATTGAAATTGCTTAATTAAATAATTGAAATAATTAATTGAAGTTAATTGATTAATTGAAATAAACTTATTTATTGAAATTAGTTAATTAAAATTAATTGATTAATTCTAATTAATTAATTAATCAAAGTTAATAAATTAAAATTAACTAGTTAATATTAATTAATTATTCCTGACAAAATTTAAAATCTAGGAGCAATTAATTATCCAAGAGCAAACTTAAGATTCGAGAGCCATAAAATTTAAAACAATTAATTGGTTGATTAAATTTTAATTAAATTAATCAATTAATTATTTAATATGGAGAGAGCCACTTTGGTAAGTGAGAGTTTTTCTTAAATAAAAAAAAAAAAGCAATATTTCTACTAATCAACATGTACAATTCAACACTGTACACTAAACTACAAACTCTCCAACTCAAACATAAAACTCATTCTCAAACTTAACACAAAAAACTCAAGCTTCTCGAATGCTCCTCTGCAAGCTTTCTAATGCTCATTCGAGCTCTCCAAAGTCTCTCATATGCAAGCTCCTACAAACATGCAATTAAAACTCATTAGCATTGAAATTAAATTACTAAAGCAAGAAAATAACAAGTGCTACACTAAACTATAATATTGAAAGCAAAAGAACAAGGTAGTGGTCCAATGAAGTAACTATTGGTACAGTAAAGTAATTACTGGTACAATGAAGTATATGTTGGTATACTGAAGTAACTACTATTACAATCTACGATACTGAAAGAAAAAGACCAAGATACTATAGTAGAAACACTAGTGTCACACAACAACAACTGTTGGTTAGTAAGTATTGAGCTGGTAAATAACAAAAAACTATAATCTAGTGTTAAGCTAGCAAACAACTGTTGTCCAATCTACCAACAAACAAAATCTCATAGACAACATCTAAGGAAGTCATAAGACCTGTTAACCAAAACTAACGGACAACTACTGTCGAGCTTGATTGTGAGACCCACCAATGGGTTACTTCCAAAAAGAAAATCAAGAAGACCCGTTCTACCAAAATGATATGACAACTTCTAAATGGAGTCTTAAGACCTATCAAATAAAACTAACGAGTATCTTAGTCTATTGGGCTGTTGTAAAACCTATCAGTGGATTACTTCTAATAGAAGCCCTAAGACCCGCTTTACAAGCTACTTTCAATGAAAGCCGTAAATCCCGATCTAAATTCAAGCACTTGGGCAACTCCTAAGTAGAGTCGTAAGTCCCGACCTAAATTAGAACACATGAGTTGTTTCTTATAGAAGCCGTAAGACCTACTTTGCGGGCTACTTTCAATGAAAAATTTAAACTCTCGGGCTACTTCTAATAGAAGCCATATGACTCGCTTCAATTTAAACATTTGGGTAACTTTTAAACAGAGTTGTAAATCCCAAACCAATTTAATTTTTGGATATTCTAATAAATGTAAACCCCAAAACTCAATAAAACTGAAATTTACATCTAACTACTTTAGTTTTCTCGGATCCCTAAGAGGAGGTAACCCATAACTGCCAATCAGATTTCTTGGACGCTATGATTAATGATTCTTAGTATTGGTATAGTAAAACCTACGATATACTTGGGACGATAGAACCAAGAGATCTTGATAGGGTTAACCTTTATTTTTTCCCTGTAATTGAAACTAAAAACACCTAAAATTATTTATCCTTAATCGAGAGTTCTCTCTTACGCGTTAAGAGGGATAATTAACTTTGACTGCTTACGCTCGTGGGAAGTAAGAACCCAGATCTAATTAAACTCCGACACATTCCTTAGGGAAAATATGATTAACTGCAATCTAATTTAAGGAGAATGAAATTCTATGTCTGTAAAATAGGATTCATACCGACGCTCCATTATTTTTCTTGAGCTAACAAAGAGTTTATCAAAAATATCTCAACTACCTTTGTTGAACATCCTCTTCTAATAAAAATAGTTTTTTATCTTCATCCTTAATAGAATTCACTTGAACTAAATCCTTACTACTTTTCTCTTTTTGTTTGGCTAATTTATACATATATATTTTGCCCTCCTTAGTATCTAATATATTATATAAATCATTAAAGCCAAAAGCTTTGCATCACATAATGTTTTTTAGACTCCTTACGGGCTCTTTATATATTTCACAATTATCAGAATTTTTACATATAAACCAATGTTTATAACAAATCTTCTTTTTTTTTAATCTTTTTTTTGTACATTTTAATTCCACCACTAATTATTTTTACTATTAGGAGCTTCTCCCTTTGATACTCTGAACATATTTTTTACAATTTTTTTAATATCACTAGTTACTTTTTCCCACGTAACGTTAGTTTCTTCATGCACATACAAAATCTTAATATTTATATTATTACTCTCAAAAGTATTTATGTTAGTATTTTTTAAATGCACATATTTAGTCCTATAATAACGTTTTATTGTATTTTTTATATTTTGCCCCTTTTTATTAAAGTCAAAAACTAATAAATGATTTTGAGTATATAAAATTTCATTTGGAATAACTTTACAATCTTTATAATCTAAATGATTTATTTTCTTATAACAAAATAACCAATCTAAGTTTTACTATATCTATTTCTTATAAGTGATGAGATGCTCATCTTTTTTCTTAAATAAGGTATTAACAATTTCAAAATCATAAACTAAAGAAATATAATATGATCTTACCAATTTCATTAGTTACTCCAAATCTATAGCCACCATGAATGTTGTTAAAATCATTTACTTCTACCAACTTGTCTATTTAACTCTCCTCCAATAATTTTTTTTTCTTCAAGAGATATCTTATGTATTAATTCTTCTAAGCCATTTCAAAATTTTAATTTTGAACTCATATCTAAATCTACTTGAGGAGCATAAGTACTTATAATATTAATAGTTTTAGTATCAACAATAATCTTTAAAACTATAATTCTATCTTCAATTCTATTAATTTTTACAATATTTTCCTTTAAACAATTATCTATAATTAATTTTATCTCTCCAACCCATTTATTTTTTTGAATGCATAGAGTATTTGTTTTCTGATAAATCATAATATTTATTAATTTCATTAATTTGTCTATAAGAGTAAAGAGTACATATATTCTAAGTTCCTATTCTTATTTTAGTTTTATGTACTAGCTTCTTTGCTCACATTCGTCCATAATGTGGGAACCCTTGCCTATTTAACACTGCACTCGGGCGTCGGTGCAACGACCCTCACGCCCTTGTCGATGTATTTAGGCCATATAACATGTCGCTTCTAGGGAAGCTCTAGCATTAACACAATGTATTAAAGTATTAATGTCATGATTATTCAATAAGTTTTATGTTGGTTGTCGACTACCTAACGCAACACTCTTCTTTTCTCATTCTGGACTTGGGATCTGACAACGACAGTGCTAGTTTAAGACAAAGCATAAAGAATAATATTCGGATGAAGCACCTAGTGGAAAGATTTTCACACTTTTGTAAATCTCCATGTATTATTTCCGTTCCTAGATTTCTTTGCATTTGAATTGTTTCTTCTTTTCATTCTATCGGTTAACCTTCTAGTTAGTTATGGACTGCTTGGTTTTGCTTTTGGATTGACAATTCTTTTGACCTTTCAGGTATGAAGTTCTTATAGAAAATCTGATGGACCCGGCTCATGTACCTTATGCACACCACAAAATAATGAGAATTCCTAAACGTCCACCATCGCGTACCAGATAAGCACTTCTAAGTAACTTGTTATGTTAGTTAAAGCTTGATGATGTTCTTTGCACGATATTCTCCGCAAATTTTCCATTTTGATTAGTGTTTTATTTTTTTGTTCGAGTAACTAATATAGGTGCAATTTTATTCTCTTGACCAAACTGTTTCCTGAACTTATGTATAAATCAATAACCCCGGCATCCTAGCTTGCAGTGTCTGTATTTTAAGCGAAGTTGCAGTCAGTGCTTACTACTTAAGGCTGACTATTTTTTTGTTTGTTTGGTGAAAACCTTACTTCCAAGTTGTAAAAGAATTTAGGTGGAGTCAAATTTTTGAAATCCTAATGCCATACTGATATTCCAAATATGGCCTTCGCTTTCCTTATGGCTTTTTAATTAGCATTGTGACGCTCGTCTTCTGCTTCTTAAGCGGATTGTTGGCACCACCCCTGAACCGAAATCCTAGTGTTTACTGCCTCTTCTGATTTGCTTCTTGCGGCTGTTCTTTACGCAGTATTGTCCTCAAATTTTCCTGATGTTTACTGGCTCTCGTTAATTTTTGAAATCCTAATGCCATACTGATATTCCAAATATGACCTTCGCTTTCTTTATGGCTTTTTAATTAGCATTGTGACGCTCGTCTTCTGCTTCTTAAGCGGATTGTTGGCACCACCCCTGAACCGAAATCCTAGTGTTTACTGCCTCTTCTGATTTGCTTCTTGCGGCTGTTCTTTAGCAATATTGTCCTCAAATTTTCCTGATGTTTACTGGCTCTCGTTAATTTTTGAAATCCTAATGCCATACTGATATTCCAAATATGACCTTCGCTTTCTTTATGGCTTTTTAATTAGCATTGTGACGCTCGTCTTCTGCTTCTTAAGCGGATTGTTGGCACCACCCCTGAACCGAAATCCTAGTGTTTACTGCCTCTTCAAATAATGGCCGTCGATTTACGACGCCGCCTGTGATAGATGCGCCAAATCTTCGTTTTGATGTCCGCATCACAAATACTGTTAGGCATGCATCAAACAATCACTTTCAAATGTACAGAAAGCAGGTTTTGGTATTCAATGGCTAGAATCACATAACTAGTAGCTACATCTAGAATTTCAATGACCACATTCACACAGGACGAGCTACTGCGAACATGAATTTGCATGGAATAGCTAGTGTCACTAGGTCTGGTAAAATTATAGAGAGAAATATTATGGAGGGCATAGCAGCATTATAAGGCTTTTTTTTATAGAGGAAAATTTTTGAAGGGAAAGGGTTGGACTTATGAAAAATCATGAAGATCTAGAGGAGTTGTTGACATAACTTACAAAAAATAGCACTAAAAGGATAAATTGTACTCAACCTTGTACCTTATATAATTTTCTCCTCATTATAAATACACAACTTTTGTACTTCCACAGATCGAGAAGGAGGGGTTCCACTAGAGATAACAATTGAGAAATTTGATATCAACGGCTTCCTTGCAAAGCAACGATTAGGATATGGCAAATTTGTTGCTCCTTGCCTATATTATGCGTTTCCACTCTCAGTTTCAACTAATGGATCGGGTTCATCTTCAAATGGCCAAACGGTAGTTATATATGACGTTTGTTCATTAATATCTTATGATGATTGTTATTCCTCCTTGTTCTCTTAAATTTCTTTGTTTGTTTGAATCAGATGCCTAATCAAAGTTTCCTCAAGGTTCAGCGGAGAATTCTTCTCATTTTCTTTTGCATTCCTGTTAGTCCTGGAAGAAGCAGATTAATTTCAGTCTTCCCGAGAAATTTTTCTGTTTGGATTGATCTAATTGTTCCACGTTGGATTTTTCATGTGGGACAAAATTTGATTCTGGATTCTGATATGTACCTTCTACATGTTGAGGTAAAACAACTTACCAATTGTAGAGTTTTCTAGCTTGTCATTATCAATATAGAGCACAACCTAAGCTCGCTTTGCTTTATTTTGCTAAGAGGACCAATCTCCCAGATATACAGCTTTTTTTATTTTATATAGATCTCAACTACATTGAAGAATTGGGAGACGAACCAGCATAATTTGAAATTGCAAACCTGGGCACACCCACATTGCTGATTAGGTTAGGATTTGCCACACATGTAATCTGTACTTTAGTCAAGCTGGCAAAAGATATGAATACGACATTAACTAAATTACTTTTAACATAACTATTTGCATGCTTATATATAAATATAATGTGTAAATCGTGAGATTTTTATGGGAGATTTTAGAATGTTTCTTGGTCAAGTCTGGCTAAGAATACAAGTGTTACCAGTCATTTGATGTAGCTCTCTCTTGGTGTATGCGTGTGTACATAGACAAGTATAAGCAGCAGACATTAGGTGTTGGTGAATTTAAGGTCTGTTAAAGAACTGTAAATAAGCTGCCTCAAATTTGGATTTTATAGAGCATATTTTTCTGCGATTTTTTTTGCACTTTTGCGATTGTAGGTATGTTTTTATATTTCAAACCTAATTTATTAAATTGTAGATTGTTGCCTGAAAAGTGAAATAACTAGTTCCTAGATTTTAAATGGCTTATTGAATTGTATACACTTTAATAATGAGTGGATATAAATGCATATGAATCTCCAGAGAGGCTTTTGCAAATGATTTTGATAGTATCTTCCATTGTTTTTACTTTTGAGAATGGAGGTTATTATATCTTCGATTGTATGATTTAGCTTAGATAACCTTTTCAGTTTTAAAATTCCCCTGGTTGATTATCAATGAAAATATATATGCTAATTTATAATATTATGTATTGTTTTGCTTGTGTTAATTACTAACCTTTCTTTTCTTTGAAAACTCTAAACCAAAATCAGACAATATTTGGCATGCCTTCTTTTGACACCCTCCAATTGGGGTGTACGTGAGCCGAGCCGGCTCGAGTTCAACGCGCAAGTCGAGCTTATCGAGCCAGGAGTTCGAGTTCGAGCCTATACTTGAGCTCATATATTAAATGAGCTTGAGCTCGTATATTAAGCTTGGCTCGACTCGAAAGTTCGTTAAGCTGCTCGATTAAATAAAAATGTATTTACTACAACAACAACAACAACAACATCAAGCCTTTATCCCACTACGTGGGGTCGGCTACATGAATCCTTTTTCTCCATTGTGTTCTATTAAAAGTCAAATTCTCATTTAAACCTAATAAAGAAAGGTCATTCCTAATATTTTCTAACCAAGTCTTTTTAGGTCTACCCCTACCTTTCTTAACATAAGTCAAATCTAATACCTCAACTCTCCTAACCGGGTCATCACAAGGCCGCCGTTTTATGTGACCAAACCATCTAAGACGACTTTTCTTCTTATATATTAAGTTCAAAACTTTCGTCTTCTTCCCTTCCTTTCTTCTTCTTCTCTTTATCTTTCCTATTATTTCACCCAAGTAGCTCTCTCATTCGGTCGTTAGCTTAGTTACGGGAAATGAATGAGAATACGGGAGGTGGATAGTGCTTAGGTTATATAAATATATAAACAAATCCCTAAACTTCATCTCAGCACTCGTTTACTTTCACTCTCTGCATGTGCTGCTAATGTGAATTTAAAAACTTAGAAAAATATTTGAATTAAGGAATTAATTTTATATAAGCCAATATACTAATATTTACGTGTATGCTTTTATATATCAAAATAATTGTTATAAAGTGTAGAATTTTATAAAAATGTGTTTGGACATTTTTGTGATGTGGGAAAAAGATATGATTTTTAGGAAAAAATTTAATTAAATCTTTTTGCAATTTTAGATATTATGATATTGACTGAAGTTAGTTAATCGATTTCCAGTGAATATCTTTTATGTTTTGGTTAGCATATTAATTAAATTAACCTTGGAAGATGCTAAATGTAATTCCAGGTTATAACTTTGAGTAGTTCAGATCATCAAGCATCTTTATCTTGGTCGCAGAAGTCATATGATAAGGTTTCATCAGCTATGAACATTTTATGAAAAAAATTAGTTCCTATTTGCATCTTTTTTGTTTGTCACGATTATCCTTGGCACTGGCAATGTTTTAAAAGAGATACTAGTGATCATTCAAAACGGATTCACATCTTTTTAGTTCTTAATATAATCTTGATTTACAGGAGCGCAAGATCGCAGAGGTTGGCCCTTCCAATTGGCAAAAAGCTTGTTTTATGCCAACAAAGTCGGACGAGAAGGTCATTGCTTTCAGAAAATGGTTGAGAAGATATGCAGACAGTCAGATTAACTGGGTAAACAAGTTTGAAAACTACCTTCCTCCAACTCCTCCAAGAGAGCAGCTAATGGACAGGTACCCTTTTGAGTTTGAAATATAAAATTCCTTTTTTAAAAACTTAAAATATGCTGTTTACTGAAAAAATGTGATCTTTCTATGGATTAATTGAATTAGTGGAAGAGGAAAGGAAATTTAAAGAAAAATTTAGATGTAATGAAATACTTAGGCAAAAGGGCTTCACAATTGTTTGAATGTGATGAGAGAAAAATTGCGGAATCTTAGCACAGTATGTGCACAAAGCTCAATCTTTTCTATTCAGATTTAACCTACTGTGGATGTTGAAATCTTAAAGGAATCCTTCAAGACATGAGATTTCATCAACCAAGGGCACTTTTTTCTGTCCTTAACTGTGCATTCAACTTTTTACTCTATCACACCCTTCACTGTCTCCAGCTATTAGGGCGTCTCCAATTGAACTCCAAACGACTGTAAGGCATAGTTGGTTTGCTCCATTCGAACGGCAAAAAAATTGCTAATCGATGGAGGGTGAACAGTGCGATTGTTCACCTACGCGGTTTTTTTGTCTCAACCGGATTTGCCAAACTAACGCGCGAAAGAGGAGAAAGACGGTTACCTTCGCAGAAGCGCACAAAATGGAGTTCGATAGAGATGAATCATGGCATTTTTGAGTTTCACTGCCTTTTGAAGTGAAAATAGGATTTTCGGTTGGAGATGCCCTTATGCCGATTTCTTTCAGGTATTGGACACATGTTGTGCACTGCAGAAGCTGTAGTTTGGCTTTAAAGGGGCTGAGAATTCTTGAGATTTCTCTTCCAATTGTCTCAGTTGCATTGATTGGATTATTGGCAGCTGCCAAACAAACTATGATGTCTGTATCAACTAGAACTGCACTTGTCTCAATGGCAGTGCTCTGTTTTGCAGCTTCCAGGTGGCTCTCTCACTTCATCTACAAAACATTTTATTTCCATGACTATAACCATGCTTTTGTCTGATCTAGAAGACTAGAACCTTAATTATCTCATATTTCTTTTTCAAAATGTAAGTATTTATGTGTGCATAAAATATAGCTGTCTTGTTTCAATAAAATATAGGAATATATGCAAGTGGAATATAAAATGTTCTGTCTAGCTGAAAAGTTTATGACTTCGACACTCGCGTTCTTTCTGCTTCTTAAAGCAGCTTTTTAGGATGGCTTTCTTATTGTTTCTTAAAATAGCTTTTTATTGTTTCTTATGGCAATTAAAATTACAAAATGTATGTGGATAAAAATAGGAATTTAGGATTCACATATCATAAGCTATTCAGTAAGCCAACAATTTTATATATTTAAATGTAATTAGTATATACATTAATTAGAACCCAATAAATAATGCAATCATTGAATATATATAAAAATCAGTGAAATATTTCAACCATGCCAAATTAGGTAATAATTGTAATTTACTCGAATAAAAAATTGTGTAGACAGATTAAGTAAAGAATTTGTTGAACTAAGAACTTCAGGAGGATGTTATGAGTGACTTCACTTTGACTCAATTGTATTTTTATCACTTAAAAAGAATCATATATTCAACTTGTTCATAGAAGATCAAATTTTAGGTGAAGTGATTTTTATTCCAATTAAATTTAATAATTTGCATGCCTTAAGATAATTATTTACAAATTTATCATCTCTAAAATCAATTGACATGATGAACATTTGATCTCTCAATTTTGATTCTTGATAAAATCATGCTCCAAATACATCCATTTTACAACAACAACAACATCAAGCCTTTGTCCCACTATGTGGGGTTGGCTACATGAATCTTTTTTCTTCATTGTGTCATATTAAAAGTTAAATTCTCGTTTAAATCTAATAAAAAAAGATCATTTCTAATATTTTCTAATCAAAACTTTTTGGGTCTACTTTTACCTTTCTTAACATAAATCAAATATAATACATCTACTTTCATAATCGGGTTATCAGAAGGCCGTCGTTTTATATGACAAAACCATCTAAGGCTACTCTCTCTCATCTTATATTCCACTTAAGCTACTCCTAAAATGTAAATACCTCCACTATTGACTATACATGCCGAAATCAATCGATTGGTCGGCCGAGTTTAGCATTATCAATAACATTCATAGTCAAAGTCATCGGCCATGTCACCAAAAATGCCTTCCTAAGTTTGTTCTCCGTCAGCTCTCTCGCTCTCTCCTTGTCTCCACAGCTTCTCTCTCCCTCAATCTCCATCCTTCTCAGCAACCTAATTTTTTTTCTTTTCAATACATTTATGAAGCCTTTGCACAAACATTGCAATTTAATTCGAGTTGATTTCAGCTGAAAGTGACTCAATAAGCTATGTCTGGATCAATAACAAACTTCTGAATAATCTGAAATTTCAAATCAAACGCAAAGGTCCAAGATCCCTGGAGCTTTCAAGTGACTCACAGATGTTCTCAGCATTCTTGACTAAGATGCAAGAAACAGGCAAAGAAGCTACTCCAATGGCTTTTAATATTGGCTAGTTGTTCATGTCAGGATACTTGGAGTAATGAATAGACATGATACACACCAACTTGGAAGCTTCCATCAAATCAAAAGTGAATCATTTCATTGTATTTTATTTTCTTTTTCAAGATCTGCTCAAAATAAAATGTCATGCTATTATTTTGTGGTCAGAGGCAATTTTGAAAATATATATTATTTAATTGATTACAAAAAAAAAAACTATTATGTTAAAGTTAAAAAAAAAAATCTCATAAATTATAGGAGTATTTAGGTGCACATCACATAATTCATGCATTTATATATATAAAATCTAAATTTTTATATTTATTTATGTAGCACTCAAAAATTTAAATTTTATTGATATTATTAATATTAATCTATTTAAAAATAAAAGAATCATGTTCATATATATATATATATATTTGTGAAAATAAATATTTTGGGGTTAGAAATATAAACATATAAGAAGTATGAAAGAGAGAGTGCACAATTTATATAATAGAAAGAATCATCTAAAAGAATATTAATCTTGATTAGTATTTTCAAGAATTTTAAAAGCTCTCATGGTTGAGGCAAAAAATACTTTTATTTATTCAAATTTCTAAAATTATAACAAAAAAACTTCATATCTAAAATAAAAAAAGTATTTTATATTCATAATTTTAAAAAATATATGATGACTATTTTAGCAACAAAAGATTTTAATTAAATGACTAGCATTCAACAACATGAATGAGAAGGATTTTTTTTTTTTTTTTTTTTTTTTTTTTTTTTTTTTTTTATATAGGAGAGTAGATCTTCTTCCAATTTGAAAAAAAAAGTAGTAGCCAAATATTTGGCAAGATTCTCCAATTGGTTAAGGTATTAATATCCTATGTTGAAGTCAAGATGCTATGTAGAAATTTGCTAACACAAGTTCCACCATAGATTCTCAAAAAATATTTTGGAACCTTCATGGTAATCACATCCATGGGGTCTAATCTTTTTTATAAGTAAGATTAATTAAAATAATGACTATTTTGTCCATGAATGAGCTAATTCAAAGCTGAATATTCCAACTAAATAACTACCAAATAACAAGTGGATTCACATAAAAACATAAAAATATTTCCCTAATTTTGTATAGTTGTATATGAACATGTATATCCCTCTCATCATAACCTTAAATTGGCCCACAAAATAAAATAATTATATGTTGACATGACTTGTTTATACATGTAATTAATTGTGTTAAATCTCTCCATATATTAGTATTTCTATGTATTTTATAAAAAATAAAAGTTTAGTTACCATATTGAATTATTGATAATGTACGGTTGAGATTATCTCTTAATTCTTTAGAAGAGGGGACTCATTGATGCATAGTGAGAAAGATTATTGGATAGGCTCTCTTCTGAAATGGAAACTATATGGTTTAATAAAAAGAGATTATGGGGCATAGGATGGATCTATAAACAACTTTTGATTATGACTGAAGCCTTAAAATTCATCATAATTGCTCTAGAAAACATCACGAGATATGGCCCAATTGAAAAATTCACTATATGTCAGAAGAGACTAGAGTTCATTCTTTCTCATAGTTGAAGAAGAAGGGATTATTTGAGAACAGATATTTGATTTTTTTTTTCCTTTAGTGATTATAGAAAGCTAGTGTTCACGGATGGATAGTTAGCACAAAATAGTATAGCTTGATATTCCCAATAGAGATTCGGGAAGTCTGACGTCCACAAAAAGATAATTAGTATCCAACAACAGAGTTAAAACATGATAGGAGTTTGGAGAGAATAGCAGCGATGATAGCTGAACTAGATAGAAATGTCTGATGACTCCATGGAGGATCTGCATATCCCTTCCACCCGCCGACTTGGTGACCACCTACATACTTAATTTCACAAGAGAGAAAGCACGCAGCCTCGAAGAATGGATTGCATGAGGAAGAAGGATGAGCAAGACATATCTCGTGAGAACTGTATTACATAAGGATGAGCGACTGTGAGGGATTTCGTTTCTCTAGATTTAGGAGAGATAATGGCACAGAAAACTAGGGTTTTGTGAGAGATGAAGAGTTTGTTAGCATCTTGTTCTTGCATTTTAGTTTTTTATGCTCGGTATTCGAAACTCCCCTGATTTGAGCGGGTTTGAAATATACCGCAAATGCACTAGATGAGATATTTGAAATACGCTTTTTTTATGTCAAAATTTGACTTTATTTTAACTCAAACACCAAAATTTTTAAAACTCTAGTATTTGAATTACTTTATATTTTGAACGCCATAATCAAATCCTAATTATACATGATTTGTAAACCTCTTAGTGGCCTTAGTACACCCATGGGACCCACACAAAATCTATATGAAAATTTTCATAATTCATAATAGTAAGTACTCCCTTCCCTCCCTTTATATGTACATCCTTCCCTTAATCTCCAAATCATTCTCCCTTCGAATTTCCAAATCCTTATTACCCTCCAAAATCCTCTATGGACCTCAACCAAAAAAATCAAATTCCCCACTTTTCACCCCTTCAATCCACCAAATTGAAACCCAAAACAAAACTCATCACCAACTCCGGCGTCGGCGGCCCCGCCAACAAGTTTGTTGGAGTGCGGCAACGTCCCTCCGGCCGATGGGTGGCCGAGATCAAAGACAGCACCCAGAAAATCCGATTGTGGCTTGGCACCTTCGAGACCGCTGAGGCCGCCGCCCTAGCCTATGACGAAGCCGCCTGCCTCCTCCGCGGCTCCAACACCCGCACCAACTTCTCTAACCGCCGCCCCTCCGACGGCTCCGCCTCCGCTGACTCCCCTCTCTCCGCACGCATCCGTAAACTCCTCCATCACAAGAAACTCCCCCTCAACGGAAAAGCCTCTCCCCAGCACCATAAAAATGGCTCCTTTCGGCCTTCCGGCGCCATTGCAGCTGCTTCCTCCGGCAGCGGCGTCAGTTCTCCGGCGAGTGAGCGAAAGCAAGAGATTTACAGCCCGTGGTTCGCTGAGGCTGCGGTTGAAACAATGTTCAACGGATTGGAGCTGAGCGATAAAGGATGCCGGTGGCCGGAGCTGGACGGCAGCGGCGCCGCGGAGGAAGTGGGTGTGTTCGAGAGGATGAGAGAGGAGAGGCAGACATCAGCGTCTTTATATGCGATGAATGGAGTCCAAGAGTATTTTGAGGCAATGCAGGATTTGTCTGTTTCGCCATCGTCGTTTGATGCCGTTTTGGATTTCCCACCATTTTTATACGAATTAGATGAATTCTGATTCTGAAAAAGATTAAAATGGCCGAAGACGATCTTTTTTTTTTTGGAAAATTATAGAGAATTCTCCCACTTGCATTGAATGAAAAATATATACATACGGAGAATCATGATGTGTCATATCATCCACTATACAGTAAAATTATAATGTGACTGTCTCTTGATTCGCCTCTGGTCCGCATTTGATGACCGCACGTAATAATTTCTCCATTGGAGAAATTATTTCGTACGGAGTCCGGACGTAGAGATATGTCCTGACTCCAATAAAATGTTGACATGTGGAGTGAACTCGTGGATATTCAATTGGGTTTATTTTTTTACTTTATATATTTAATGTGTCCGCAAAACTTTAAGCCAAGCGCACCGCAGTAAAAAAACCACATTAAAAGAGCAGTCAAAACACAACTACAATGCAATTAAAACGCAGGTTAAGCGCAAGTAAAGCACACAAAAAAAGTGCAACCAAAGTGCGCTCTACGTGTCAAATTTTAAGTGAATATACAGACGTATCTCTCGTACTCCACATGAAATAATTTCTGAATATAAAAGATGACCCAACTAAAATTCACATAGCAGCTAGAAATAGGACTAATAATAATAGTAGTGATTAAGCGACAGAGCACAACCGATTACATAATGAGTTGAATCGAACCAAATCAAATTGCAATATAGTTCAATTTATTTGACTTAACCGAATTTGCAAATCCTGCTAAATCATGAAAAATCCATCTTGTAACAAAATATATGATGTGACCAAAGCATAACATGTTTCTTATGACTAAATTTATCTTGCGACAAACAAATCTAAAAAAAATATCATCTTAGGTTTCGTTTTGGACTGCTTTCTTACTGCTTTAAGGAACAGTAAGAAAGCTATCCCAAATAAAGCCTTAGTACATTCAAAAATCGATGATGTGATTAAGGCTTCGTTTGGGACGGCTTTTTTATTGCTTCTGAAAACGAAGTTTTAGTACAAAAATTAAAAAAATTGTACTACAACTCAGTTTTAAAAAAGAAATAAAAAAGCCGTCCCAAACGAAGCCTAAATCTATGCATCTGAATACTTTGTTTCACAATAATGAAAGTTAGAGCATTCACTTTGAACTTAGAAGGAAAGGCTCAAACATGAAATGATAATATATAATCCAAAATAAATAAAAAATCAAACATCATTTAATAAACCCAACCAAACAAACTAAATATGCTCCATTAGATACGATATTTCAATTTAAACTAATTAATGCATACACTAACAAATAGTAAGACGCATTAATAAAACCTAATTGAGAGAGAGATGTAAATAAATTAGATCTCTCACTAAGGAAAAAATATTATGTGCGGATCCGAGATCAATCATAATGCTCGGTACCGCAGCTCGGTAATACTTGGTACTACTGATGTGCCTGCACCTAATTTGCTTCTAGACGTAGAGGCTGCACATAATAATTTCTCCTCACTAAGAATCTATTTGTGACGGTTATTGAGTTTTATATGGTTAATTGTGAAGTTGATACATGAAAGTAACTTAACTACTCTAATTATAAAAAGAAGCTTCTTATTAAAATATGTTAATAATAGTGGTCATCACCAAGTGGCTAGCGCTGACGGTTAGCGCTTGGTAACAGCTAACGGCCAATAGTAATATTAGCAATGAAGGATGGCGAGTGATAGGCGTTAGCGGTGATCAATAGTGAGAGGTGACAAAGATGGTGCTAATATGTGTTGACTGCAACTGGCGAGTGGCAGCGATTGGAATCAAACGGCGGCAATCATTTTTTGTCACAATAACATAAAATTTATAGTTTATTTGAATATTAACCAAATATAACAATATCTAAATTCACAAAAGTGAACCAGTTATTCTAAACCCTGCATTATTTATTAGGATTCATAATTAAATCAAATGTAAGTCTTAATTATTATTTTTAATGGGTGGAAAAATAATTATTTCTTAAGCATTAATCATTGATTAAAAATGCCCTAATGACCCATCTCTTTAGAATAGAACTATCAAATCAAATTATAATAAATTATTAAAAACCAATTTTATATCAAAGTAAATCAAATAAAATCTCACCACATTGATTGTATGAATTTGTAATTTCAAATAAAAAAATTTTCAAACATATTAAGTAAAAAAAATTTATTTTCCCAAAAAAAAAATTATAATTAAATAAAAATATTTTCTCGGTGTAAAAAAAACACAAAGGGCAGAAATTTAAAATAAAAATAAAAGGTCTGTCAGACAGCTTCAAGGCCATCCGGTCGGTCGAGACCAACCGGAACGATCCTCTACAGCTTTGATCAAACGATAGATCTCCACCGTCAATCACGCTCTGGCCTTGAAGCCACATGTCATCAACCAGACTTTATTGCTTGCCTATTCTATTGCTAGAAATGTAGCAGTACGATCCTATAGATAATAGTGGTCATCACCAAGTGGCTAGCGCTGACGGTTAGCGCTTGGTAACAGCTAACGGCCAATAGTAATATTAGCAATGAAGGATGGCGAGTGATAGGCGTTAGCGGTGATCAATAGTGAGAGGTGACAAAGATGGTGCTAATATGTGTTGACTGCAACTGGCGAGTGGCAGCGATTGGAATCAAACGGCGGCAATCATTTTTTGTCACAATAACATAAAATTTATAGTTTATTTGAATATTAACCAAATATAACAATATCTAAATTCACAAAAGTGAACCAGTTATTCTAAACCCTGCATTATTTATTAGGATTCATAATTAAATCAAATGTAAGTCTTAATTATTATTTTTAATGGGTGGAAAAATAATTATATCATTTTAAATCATTAATTTAAAATAATTATTTCTTAAGCATTAATCATTGATTGAAAATGCCCTAATGACCCATCTCTTTAGAATAGAACTATCAAATCAAATTATAATAAATTATTAAAAACCAATTTTATATCAAAGTAAATCAAATAAAATCTCACCACATTGATTGTATGAATTTGTAATTTCAAATAAAAAATTTTTCAAACATATTAAGTAAAAAAAAAAATTATTTTCCCAAAAAAAAATTTATAATTAAATAAAAATATTTTCTCGGTGTAAAAAAACCAAAGGGCAGAAATTTAAAATAAAAATAAAAGGTCTGTCAGACAGCTTCAAGGCCATCCGGTCGGTCGAGACCAACCGGAACGATCCTCTACAGCTTTGATCAACGATAGATCTCCACCGTCAATCACGCTCTGGCCTTGAAGCCACGTGTCATCAACCAGACTTTATTGCTTGCCTATTCTATTGCTAGAAATGTAGCAGTACGATCCTATAGAACAGATCCTGTTCAAGTAAGGTCGTGAAGAAGCCGCATAGAAACCGATATTTAACATTGATGATAAGAAATCTCCATGCTGTGTGGGACTAATTACACGCCTGCTTTGCCCGCTTGGCTATGATGTAGAGAAAAAGATTACGCTCATAATATATGATGGATATTATCAAATATACAAATTTCCGTCCTCTTTTATTAGACTTTATATTTAATATGTGATATTATATATTTAAAATAAACAAATTTTTTAGATTATATTATCATCAATAATAAATCTATTCAATCATATATGAAACTTGGCATAAGCATGTGAATCATAAACTTTAAGAATTAAATTTATGACTATCAAAAGTTCAATTTTGGTAAGCAATTAGTCAAAACAAATGTTTAGTTGAGATTAGTCTGACGAAGTTAAAGTACAATCATTCGAATCAAAATAATCTTAAATTAATCACTCGAAGTATATTTAAGAACTTCATATTTATGTTTAACAGACAAAAAGGTCTTTCAAGTTTGAATATTGAGTGTATGTAGTCAAAATAAGTGTTGATGAGAGGAATCTAAAGAGTCCAATATCAATAAATCATGATGTCATTCATGCAAATTAAATGTATAAAGAATCATATTTGATCACAAGGGTCAATATTAACCTCTCAATGAATGGTTTAGGGATTTTGGCCAGAAGAATCAAAATATGACTCATAAAAATATAAAAAGCCTAATATTCTTCATATTAGGAGAGCTTAGATATGAACCAAAAGTTAGAAAGAGCTTGTTCTGATGTTCATCCATTGACTACAATCGCATAACTACCATCACATAGTCAGCATCTCCCAACAATCATCACATAACCTCCGTTGTATGACTACCAATAAGGTTAAGCGCACACCGCCAACATTAATACTTACACATGACATCATTGGCAAGGTCGATGCACGCCGTTAACACCAATCCTAATGCTTGCATCGCCAACAAGTTTAATGTGTGCCATCAACATCAACACCAATGCAAATCATATTTAATAAGGTTAATGCACCCCATGACACCAACTCTAAATCATGTCATCTCCAATCAGGGTGTTGAATGTCATAAAGAAAGCATTCACACACCATCATTAATAGGTTGATGCGCACTTTCAATAATGACATTAATGAACTCCATAACTAATATGATCAATGTACATCGTTGACACCAATATTAAAACAAAAAATCACCAATAAGAATGATGCACTATTGCTAACACGATCAATACATGCCGACGCACTCCAACATTAATAATGTAAACGCCCAAAAATATGCAAAAACTAATCCAAATGTCAATACCAAGTCTTCTTCATGCATGGTCTCCCATCTTATTCTTATAATGAAGACTATCACTCTTAAAGATAACTCCAATAACTCAAGACTATCACTCTTCTTCTACATTTAATGTAGGCTATATTATACCACTGTCTTCTCTAGTTATGAGAAAAAGCATAATTTATTAACTTAAGACACATAATAGTGGTATCCTTTCAATTTAGCAAACTCCTACTTACTGTCGAATCCAGCTTTATTTTTTAGGATGGGCACACTCATTATATTAAAAAATTAAATACTAATAATATATATATATATATATATATATAATTGCCAAAAATATTTCAACACTCAATAATTGTGAATTAAAAATAACATTAATTATTAATATCTTTTAACCTATTGATGTTAATCATTAATGCTGATTTAATTTTATAAATTAATAATTTTATATCTAATTTACTTAATTGGATATTAATAATTTGATTTATTAATTTTATAAATTCTGATCATATTAATTAAATTACAATGAATATAACATAATAGTTGAATTAATCATTAAATATAACAAGCTTTATGATATAATTTTATGAATAGAAATTTATAATTTTTCATGTACATAAAGAATTAGAGCTCATTTTTAACTCAATAATGCTCGTTTGTTTAAAGCTTAATAAGCATAAAATAAATCAAACATGAACAAAATATGAACACCTATTAATTTAAAAGTATCAAGCTTGAACACAAAAAAAAAAAAAACTCGAATCAATTTCTAACCGAACTTAAACAAGTTGATAATAAACGAACTCAATTATGAACACACGCATACTTGGCTCAGCTTGATTCATTTGCATCCTTAGATAAAAAATTTGATTAAAAAGTATTAGAAATAACATTTAATTATTATATTAAAATGAGAATTTAACCTTTAATAGAACATTATGAAGAAAAAAATTCATATTACTAACACCACATAGTAAGATATAAACCTTATGTTATTGTTGCTGTATCAAAAACCTAAATTTATAAAAGTAATTGAAGCTGAACATCAAGATTAGGACAAATGTTCAACACCAAACAAATACACAATAAAATACCAAATTAAAATTCAATGGCACATTGAGAACATAAGAATACTTAAGGAAGGAACCATTCACCATACATACAGTCTGTAAAGGTTGCAAAACTGAATACTAACAACCAAGAAACTGAAAAAAAAAAAATTAAAAAAAAAAATAAACTGATTTCTCTAAAGGTCTATATGGGGAACTTTTATTTGGTCCGGTCACCTGACGTAACTCTACGTCAAACGCCAGTAAAATAATGCCACGTGTTCTCACTATTTACCTCGCGGCCCGACAACTCCGACCCGGAACGGAGACGTGATTGCTATGTTCGCGTGTTGCTAGGTATTGCTCGGTATTTGTCGATTTTGCTCGACAATAACGAGAAATACCATTCTGTGAAGACCAATACCAAGCAAAACCGGTATTGATCTTGACATAGCGATATTTTTCATTATTGTCAAGCAATACCTAGCAATGTCAAGCAATACCTAGTAATACCGAGCAATACGCGGACATAACAATTCTGGGTCAAGTCGTCGGGCCGCGCGGTATTGAGTAAGAGCACGTGGCGACATGTTATTGGTGTCCGAACGTAGAGCTACGTCAGGTCACCTGACCTAATAATTGTTCGTCGAACGGCTATTGAGTTTTATATGGTTATGAAGTTGGTGTGGTGAAGTAATTTAACTATTCTAATTATAAAAAACTTCTCATAGAAATATGTTAATGATGGTGGTCATGCATCATCAATAGTAATAGTAGCAATGTAGGATAGTGAGTGGTATGTGGTAGCGATCGACAACATATCACTCACTATCCCTCAGGGGCGAAACCAGCAATAATTTTTAGGGGGGGCAAATTTATAAGTAACTGTTTGCATATATGTCGGGGAAAAATGGGGCAGCGCCCCTTGGCGGGGTTCGACCATATGTTTCATTATTCCCTAACAATAACTCATCTATACAATGTATTAAAATATATTTGTGGCAATTGCCTACCATAGTATTTTAATATTTTTAGAGGAGAAAATAACTAGAAATCCTTGTAATAAAGACTAAAAATTACATAAATAATAATATAATGAGAAGAAAAAAACTATAAACCTGCATTATTTATTAGCATTCATATAATAATATTGTATTATTATTATTATTATTATATATATTAAGATAATTGATATCAAATGTAATCATTAATTATTATTTTTAATGGGTAGAAAAATAATTATATCATTTTATAAATTATTGATTAAAAATAATTATTGCTTAAGCATTAATTAAAAATGAGCCATCTCTTTAGAAGAAATAATTAAAATTATTTTATATCAAAGTAAATTAATAAAAAATGTTTATTTGGTATAAGAAACAATAAGGGCAGAACTATTAAAAATAAAAACAAAAGGTCCGTCAGACAGCTTCAAGGCCACCCGGTCGGTCGAGACCAGCCGGAACGATCCTCTACAGCTTTGATCAACGATAGATCTCCACCGTCAATCACGCTCTAGCCCAGAAGCCACGTGTCATCAACCAGACTTTATTGCTTGCCTAATTTACTATTGTAAATGTAGCAGTACGATCCTATAGAACAGATCCTGTTCAAGTAAGGTCGTAGTGATCCCGCTTAGACACCGATATTTAATATTGATGGTAAGATATTTCCCTGCCGTGTGGGACTAATTGCACGCCTGCTTAGCTATGAAATAGAGAAATTAACTATAACAAGATTAAGCTCATTATATACTATTAATATTATCAAACATTTTCTTTTTCTTTTTTTTTTTTTTACTTTATATTTATTATGTGATATTCTGTATTTAAAATAAATTAAAATTTTAAGAATATGTTATCATCAATAAATCTATTCAATCATAATGAAACTTGTCACAAGAATGTGAATTATAAACTTTAAGAATTAAATTTATGACTATCTAAATTTCAATTTTGGTAAGCCTATAGTCAAAACAAATGTTTAGATGAGATTATTCTAATGATGCTAAAGTACAAGCATTCGAATCAAAATAATCTTAAATCAAGCACTCGAAGTATATTTAAAAACATTATAATTGTGTTTAACAGGCAAAACGATTTGTCAAGTTTGAATATTGAGTGTATGCTGTCAAAATGAGCGTTGTCGAGAGGAATCTAATGAGCCCAATATCAATAAATCATGATGACATTCATGCACTTAAATGCAAAAAAATGATATTTGATCAAGGGGGCAATATTAACCGCTCGATGAATGGTTTAGTGATATTGGCCAAAAGAATCAAAATATGACTCATAAAAATATAATTAGCCTAATATTCTTCACATAAAGAGAACTTAGACCTTAACCTAAAGTTAGAAAGAGCATGTTCTGATGATTATCCGTCGACTACAATCGTATAACCACCATCACATAGTTAGCATCGCCCGACAATCATCAAATAACTTCTATTGTCTAACTAATAATAAGGCTGGCTCACACCACCAACATTGATACTGATACATTACATCGCTAACAAGGTTGATGCACGACGTTAACACCAATCCTAATGCTTGCATCGCCAACAAGTTTATTGTGTGTCGTTAACACCAATCTTCTTCATTTACTGTATACCATACTATACTAGTGTCTTCTCTAGTTATGAGGAAAATAATCATTTATTAACTTAAGACGTATTAGTGGAATACTTTCAATTTAGCAAACTCACACTTTTTTTTTTTTCTTCTTCTTTTTTGGATTTCTATGTAAAAAGCCTGGTATGTTCTAGAAGCTACTATTGACTTGATTTATATGTATGTGTGCAGGATCTTTGTGCAATGTTAAGATGATGAAGTCTCTTTAATATCATTAATGTTCTAGCACGTAATAAATCATATATTTGAAAATTTAGTTAAAGAAATAAGGAAAGTAGTGTGTTTTAGGCTTCGTTTGGGACGGCTAACTTACTGCTTTTTAAGCAACTTTTTATAACAAAAATTTTATTTTTTTAACTAAAAAGCTGCTTAAAGAGACAGTAAATTGCTTCTTAAAACAGCTTTCTCGTAAAAAATTTTAATGTTTTAACTAAAAAATTACTTTATGAAGCAGTAAATAAGCCGTATCAAGAAAGCCTTAGCCACTTTTAGCAACTTCATGAGAAGGCAAAGAAGAAAAAACATAGAGATGGGAAATAGAGATTTGTGATAATTCAATCTCAAGACATCTCAACTCTGAGGGACAAATATAAGAATTTATCCACTTTCCTTTGAGAGAAAATTACAATAGGTGGAGACTGGAGACTACGAGAGAGAGAGAGAGAGAGAGAGAGAGAGAGAGAGAGAGTTGCTTGATATGCATAAAGCTAAGTGTTGCAAAGTTGAGGATACTCACATGAATGAGTGGCTGTACAAAGTGCAGACGGGGAGAACCGTCCGCACACTAGTATAAAATTCAGCTATGTATCATTCGGTACCGCTGGGTACCACTAGGTACCGCTTGGTACTATGTGTGTGTAGACGGTGCTCCCCCATCTGCACTCCGCACCAAATATTTTTTCATACACTTAAGAGATAGTGTAAAAGGAGTGCATATGCAAAAAGTTGAAGTAGCTCCATTGGCACTTAAGATTAGAGAGAGTCGTCTTAGATGAGTTAATTACATAAAACATTGGCCTTCTTATGACTTGGTTAGATGAGCAGATTTATTAGATCTGACTAGGGCTGCAAATGAACAGAATATTCGACGAGCTCCTCTTGGGTCAGCTCGATTAGATCTTATTCATGTTCGTTTTATAAGATAAATGAAAAAGCTTACACACTTTTGATAAATAATCAATAGCTAAGTAAATAAGCTTGAACAGCTTGGTGCTCAGTCCGATTACGTTCACAAATAATATCGTTTAATGCTCATTAATAATCTCAATTAGAGCTTGACTGAGAAGCTCAATTAGAATTATATTAGAGTTTTAAAAATCAATATTATTAAATAATTCCATCTAATAATTTGTTTAATAATATATTTTTACTTCCCGCTTATACCTTAAATCAAAAACAGCTCACTCTTCAAACAAATATAAAATGAATTATAGATCGTTTCATAAACGAGTTCATTTGATAGCTTCAAAATACTAATTATATATATTCATGAATGAGCTCATTTGATAGCTCAAAAATATTCATTACATATGTTCGTGAACAAACTTGTTTGATAGTTTAAAAAATTACGTTAGATATATTCAAGAACATGCCCAATGTAATTTTTTGTTGGAACGCTCAATAAAACTCATTTGTTAAGTTAATATACATCTAGAAATAGAGCTTGTTTTTAGCTCGATACGACTCATTTATTTAAAGCTCATTAAGCACAAAATAAATCAAACATGAACCAAATATAAGCACCCCTTAAGTTAAACAAACCAAACTATAATACAAATAAAAAAGCTCGAATCAAACCCGAGCGGAACTTAAACAAGCTGATCATAAACTAACTCAAACATAAAAACACACTCCGCTCAACATGTTTCATTTGCAACCCTAGATCTAACCAACGTTAAAAATTTGATTAAAAAGTATTAGTACTAATATTTACATATTATATTAAAATAAAAATTTGACTCTTAATAAAACATGATGAAGCAAAAAATTCATAAGATATAAACTTGATCTTGTTGTTGCTGCATCAATAACCTAAATTTATAAAAGTAATTGAAGCTGAACATCAAGTTTAGGACAAATGTTCAACACCAAACAAATACACAATAAAATACCAGATTAAAATTCAATGGCACATTGAAAACATAAGAATACTTAAGGCAAGGAACATTTCATTATACATAGTCTGTAAAGGTTGCAAAACTGAATACAAATAACCAAGAAACTGAGACAAAACAAAACAAAGAAAAAAAAAAACTGATCTCTCCTTAAGCAGCAATAGCCTGAGATTTGTTGAGGATGACACCTTCATATTTGACCTGGAACCATTTCATGGCATCATCCTTCGTCACACGGTGCTGCACGCCGACACGAGACTTGCAGCGGCGGCGCCGGCTCACGCGGTAACCAGGACGCTCTAGGACGACGTAGAAGTCCATGCCATAGATTCCGGTTGAAGGATCATACCTGTGGCCAAACATCATAGATTTGTAAAAACATCAATAAAACATAATGAACATACTATTTTTACAATTCTGGTTATGTTCATAACAATATTCTATCGGATCTACATGAGTTCGCAAGCAAACATAACAATATTCGGTAAAAACAGCGAGAAAACGAAGAAATAGTAGTGGAAGAACGATCAACGATAGCAATTCTTATAGAAAACAAAGGGAAACAAGAACAAAGCAAAGATGCAAGAGATCCTCAATTCGAGAGGAGGATCGTCTCTCCCAAATCTCTAGACAAGAGATTCTAGAGCACAAGTCGTCAAGAAATCCAAATTCAAATCAATCAAAACATAATCTCCCCTAATCCCTCTCATCCTCTTTAATACAAAAACTTTCCTAATCTAATTTCACTCCCAAGCTCTAGCCACCCCCTCTTAAATTTCAAATCCAATGGACAAGTGGGGCGGGGCCAAGCCAAGGGAGGCGGATGGATTCCGCCTCCTGTATACTTGATGAACCGGCCCGGTTCGCACATCACCTATACAGTGGGTTCCTTTTGTGTTCCACCTGATGGACAGAAAAACAACATTGATACAATTTCTAAAGAACTAAATCTTTTAAGATTCACCGTAATAGAAATATCAAAGCTGTTGATGAAATATAATAACATTAGCAGGAGGCTCAGACTTTTGCTACTCTGTTCAAAGAAGGGCTACAACGAGCCCTTCTCATACAAGAGGTGTCAGAAAAAGGCAATAATCATCACAGCCATTTACATTACAAATGTCACCTAAAACAATGCTACTGATATCACAAACTTAATAACATAATTCAAAGTTAAATCAAGTAATCAACTGGATTTCAGCAAGGAAAAGCCATAAAGGCTCGCCTATCTTGCAATTTCAAATTATGTCAGTTAAAATAAATAAAAAAAATTGAATACAAGAAAACCAGTCAAAACAAACTATGTAAAGAATAAAATTTAAGAAGACAATTAATAATGAAAACAATGAAATATAGATCTAATAACATACTTGATACCAAGGTCAATATGCTCCTGAATGCCAAATCCAAAGCATCCAGTATCACTGAAGTTTCTCCTGAGAAGCTCATATTCCTTAACTTTCAAGCCACTTTCAAGGAGTTGCATTGCCTTTTCTCCTCTAACAGTGACATAGCAAGCAATTTTTTCATTACGCCGGATTCCAAAAGATCGGACAGTGTACCTGGCTGGAAAAAGCAACAAATTTTAATGAGAAATTGAAACCTAGCTTAAATGCAAGAGGATAAAATTTTCATTGTACCTTTGGAGAACACAGGAGTTTGCCCACTCAACTGCTCCAACACCTGAAAATATTCACCACATAATTACAGTAAATCATCGCATGCAATGGTAGAAACTTAAGTCAACTTTAAGCTAGCTTAAGCCCCAAGAGCCCAATGGAACAGTCTATTTCATTTAAGCAGAAACTTAAGCTAAACTTATCTAAGCATTAGGCCTTAACAAGGCCAAAAGACAAACCAAGTGATGGCAAGCTTAAACATAAATAATTAAATATATATCTTTCATGACAATTAAATACATTAAAATTAAGAATCAATCACCATTAATTGACCTTTATGAAGTTATTAAGCTTAATTTGTCATAAACTTATCTTTTCTAAGAAATTGAGGTTTCCTTTTCACAAGAACAACTTTTAAAAGTAAGCTTATCTTCTTAAAATTAAATAAATTTAAATTAAAATGAATTCAATCAGCAACAAGTTTATAATTATAATAAGTTCCTTTTATGGTAAATAAACTCATGGCCTATAGCATTAGAACACCATGATGAGTTAAGGAAATCAGCTTTAAGACCAAAGGCAACCAAATAGTTTTCTAAGCTCATCACATATTTTACCGCTTATCTTTTACATCAACTAGATGTACCTCTCATAAGTGAATAAACCGAATCACATAATTCAAACCACAAGTATATCGCAGCTTTAAATTTTAATTTTGCAAAACAGAAAAATAATATTTACCTCTCAAACTCAATTAACACAAACCAAGCAATAAAACCCAACAAAAAAAACATGCAAAATCCAAAAAATTAACCCATTTAACATATAAATAGGCACCACTAAACATCCACAATTCTGCACGCAGCACCAACAGGATAATTCCAAATGCAAGTAGTGAAAACTATATGACCAACCACCGCTTATCTTTTTCACCAATAAACGTTTTTTTTACTTTTTTAACTAGAGAGAGAAATTTCATTCAAAATCATCGCATGTCACACCATAATTTAACTCACAAGGATATTGCAATTTTAAATTTTAAATTTTGCAAAACAGCAAGGCAATAGGAACCTGTCAAATTCAATCACAAGCCATTAAAACCCATAAAAACAGCATGAAAATTTTGAAGAACCAACCCATTCAACGCATGAATGGGCAGCACCAACCATCCGCAATTCCACAAATAGCACCACCAAGGATAATTCAAACTACAATTCAGCAAAATAATAAAGCAAGCCAATATAGAAACAAAATGTCCAGCCACCCCACACCCCCATACAACATTTTTTCTTTTAATTCACCTTTTTCATATTTAAACAACAATACCAATGTCTATCATATTATATTAATAGCAATCAACGCATGATGCCAAAGTCCATTGCCTACTTGATCGAAAGGCCAAAGCAAACATAAAACCCAAGAATGACAGCAAATGTATAAGAAAGAAGGAAAAAATGCAAAATTCACCTCACACAAAACCTCAAGACTGGCTTTGTGTTGTTGTACTATAAATATCTACAAATCATATTCATCACGCATCTACATAGAAATATTATTGAAAAGGTATGAACTATGAAGTAGGGGGACACACAAGATTGGGATATTCCTTGTACAAGATCTTTAACTAAACAAAAAGTAAAAATGCCAAACAAATACCAATTGAAGCTTTACAAAAGTATGGCTCAAGCAAAAGATAAGACCTTGGGAAAAACCAATATATTTAAGTAATCTCTATAAAATAAAAGCACTTGTCAAGTTTTAACCCTCTTTATGAGAATAAAGCAAACTAAAGTACAACTAAACAATAAGCACCAAAAATTTAATGCAATGGTCTAATTAATTATTCTAATAGATAGTCAATGACTAAGTAGTCATTAATGCTTAAAGAGCTATCTAATTCATCATTTAATAAAACAATAAAGGGCTCTTGATGCAAATTGGTGAATGATCTTCCAAAGTGATAGTCCGCAGATTGAAGCACTCAAAGTTCTTTTAGGCCAACCAACCACAGCTTAGGTACACTTGATTTAAAACTCCTCCAAGCTTCTCGGTCAACTTAACATCCTATCTTTATCCAAATGGAAAATAAAAAATAAACAAAAAACGCAAAACCTAGAGCTTATAATCTTTTCAACTGCATTCTTAATGCAAAACCTTTTCAGGCTAAACTAGATTGACAGCAAAAACAAATTTAGATTTGGCAAACCTACAATATAATGATGCCGTCAAAGGAAATTTTAATCAAAATAGCCTTGTGAAATTCAATTGATAAGGAACTGTAGACACTTAAAGAAACTCCTCAAGGATAATGAACACGCCAATAAATAAACAAGAAAAAAATGATTTCACTCCGCCCACTAATCAAGGCTTAGGTTTTACACCTAAAACTTTTTGCTGTTCTCAAGAACCTATATTACCATAAACCTACTAACTGCATTGGATTTTTCCCAAAATTCATCGTAGAAAATAAACAGAAAGCATTAAAAATAAGGATCCCTCAACTTCTTCTCATCATTGAAAAGCAAATTCATAGAAGGATATTCACAAGATGTTGCGCCTAAAATAGCAGAGATTTAAAATCTAATTTCCCGCTGCGCTGCCACAGCATAGAAATATCAAGATCCACACTTCCACCCAGTGTATAAAGAACTTCAACCGCACAAGTCAAGCAAACGCATTACAAGATCATACAACAGGAAACAAAAAATCAATACCTTGGAAGCTCTAGTGAGGCGATCTCCGCTCTCTCCCACCGATATGTTGAGCACCAGCTTCTGAACCTTGATATCTCGCATCGGATTAGATAACTTCTTCTCTGATGCCTATATGACAACAGAAATCGATGAGAAAACCTACAAAGATATCCATAGAAAAAGCAGAAGCGAAAGGAGAAAAAAGGCTTGGAGAAGAGAGGAACAGAGCTAACCATAGCTGCGATCAAAGCAGTTCTCAGGAGTCGGCGGCAAGTTTTAATGGCGGAAACCCTAGTGCTTATATAAGCAACGAGGGTTTTGTCGATTGTTTACACGAGAACCGTTAGATTGAAGTCAAACGGTGATGCGAATGCATATTGTCCACGCAGCCCATTTAAAACAAAAATCAAGCCCGGTCTTTAGGCCGAGTTCGATGGGCCAAGTAGGCCTATTATACTAATATTCTATAATGCTTGATTAAAGGTCTTAAATATATGTATTTTAAAGGTATGCATTTTCAATATCTTATTGTTTCACTCGAAGAAAAGGCAATAAAATATAATTTTCAAATGTATATAAAATGTCCAATTAGATTATTTTTAATATATTTAACTGACAGAATTTTCAAATATATAATTTGCTAGCCACTTGCAATCTACATTAGTCTACCACTTCCAATTGCCTCCACACAAATTCGGTCGTCATTTCCTAATGTCACAAGTCATCGCTAAACATCATCGGCCACCACTAGCCATTTTTCGTTGTTGCCCAGCAACACTAGTCGCTAATTATTGTTGTCACTATGTCAATACACTATTAGCTATTACCTCCAATAATAGCAATCGTTGGCCAACAGAGCCACACCATTAGCAATGGCTCTGTTGGCTACCACTACTATCAACGTCAAGTGTAATGATTATTAACTATTAATATAAATGCATTATTATTTTATTCTATATTTTGTTACCTTAAATCATTTAAAGCGTACTCCGCAAAACAAAGAACTAAAAACTTTAAAAAAAAAATCCTAAATTTATGATGTACTTAAACAAACTATGGTTTCAAATCAATCATCAATTAGATTAGTAGACTATACTACTTCATTGTTTCTTTCTATATTTCAAAATAAAATTCAAAATTTAGAAATGAAGAAAACTTTTCAAAATATAAGTGAATAGTAGAAATTCCAAATGAAATTGAGAAAAATAATAATCTTACAATTTTTGAATGAAATAATAAATCTTTTTATTTTTATTTTTTTGTGCAACTTAAAGAGATCATTATTATAATCTTTTTAAAATTAAATATGTTCCTTTATTCACTTATTTAACTTGTGATATTAAAGGCATGAAATATATTACTCATATTTGCTATAATTCATATAAATTTATAAATTTAATTTATATTTATTTATTAACTGTTTCATATACATTTATTGAACTATTTATTCCTATTTTATATTATTTTAAGAGGTGCACAAATAAATAAAAGATAAATATTTCAAAACATTTTATAATATGATTTCTGTTGAACCTAAAAATGAGACATAAATGAAAGTGCAAAGTATGCTTAAATACCAAGAAGATCCTAACCCTGCTGGCACCAATAAAATTTTCTATTCTAAATGGATTCTTAAAAGCCAAACCTAAATAAGATAAAATAAATTAATTAAATAATAAAATATACCTCAAATAAAGAAATAGTTAGGTAAAAAAAACATTTCTTGTAATTTAAGTATTCATTCCCATCAATTAATACTCAACACCTGCCATAAATTTTTTTTACATTATTTAGAAATGTAATAAATGTGAACATTTATTAAAAATTATTTGCAAATAGAAAGTTCATAAAATACAGCAAAAAATAGCATATCGGCCCCTAATGATTTCTCTAATATTAGCACAGCCCATCTCTATCTTCTTCTCCATCCTCATTAAGCCAATCCAAAGCATAAAACAATTAAACAAAACCTGCTTACGCCATCAAACAAAAACAAAAATATCTTCAGTGCAATTTCTCCCATCTCATTAATATCCCCTTGACCTTCTTCCCCAAAGCTCGCTCTTCCTTCCATGGAGGACGAGGAGAAGGTGGAGGAATGGGAGCTCCTCCCTCCCAACACCTCCTTCCTGGAACTGGGCCTGGAAGACATCAAAGACCTCTTCTCCAAAGAAATTGACTACGCGGACTACTTCATAGAACAACCGGCTCAGCTCCTCAATCTCAGCCAATCCGCCAACGGCGACGAGGAACCATCACAGCAATCCACAGCAAGTAAACGCCAAAGCTACGATGAGGAATTTCAGGAAGAAATCGAAGTTGAAGATCTCCAGGCCAAAGAACAGAGCAGTGATGACGAGGAAAATGAAGTTTTGGGTGAAAAGCCGCGGCCGATCGTAGCGGGAATCGGCGAGATGTTGTCGATCGGGGCGGCTGTGGCGGCGGCGATGCTGTGTGGGTTTTTGCTCGGCAGCGGGCGGCGGAAGGAGCAGCCTCGCCGGGCCGATACTATGCGCTTCCACATATACAAAGACGACAAGGTAATTACTTGTTAATCTAATAAAATTGGCCAAACAAGTGATGGAAGCAGAATTTTGACGTCTTGTTGGTTTGATTTCAGGCGCTGAAGCAGATGGTGCGACAGGCGAACAGGATTAATCAGGTGTTGGTGGCGACGGCGAGTGGGATGCCGCCGCCGGTGATGCAGCCGGCGACGATCTCCTTTGGTGGTTGCTTTGGCGATATGCTTTGATGGTGTTTACCACTGTCTGTATACACTGTAAATGGATGTCTGTGTGCTGTGATGAATTAAAATGTTGGAATGATGCTTCGACGTTATTTATTTGTATTTGAAATAAAGGAATCTAGCTGTTTATATGACCTTTTTAAGTTTTAATCAATCTCAACCAGAAACAGTTCAAATCAAATGAATTTGCTGATGCATACAAAATCAACCAAAACTAACACAAAATCATCATTGCTCAAGAAAAATTCATCCTCTGCTGATGAACGAAATATTGTTACTTGCAGAATACTGACACAGAGAACTGTTCGATTTTGTGACTACGAATAGTAAAAGCACCGTTACTGTTCGTCATTACATTTTTACTGTTCACAATAACAAAACTGAACGGTTCTTTAAGAACGGATTCCTCATGGTATTATCTCTCCACACTGAAATCAAAATTTGAGATAAACAAAACAGGAACCACCAAATAAACTACTTAGAAATAGAGACATACAACAATATTGAAAGATAAATGGCCTCAGAATTGCAGAATAACGGCATCATTAATAAAATCAGTTGCAAAAGATGCTTCGTGGTTTCAGATTGTCCTCACAGGCCGAAATATAAACATTTGATAAAAGAAATCATAATCTGGAGGCTGAAACTGATAAATACCATTAATGACAAAGAGAGTTTCATGTTAATATAAGAAAATCATAATCTGGATAGGTCCACTAAAGGATAAATAAAATATATGTATATATATATATATATATATGGACTCAACAAAAATTTGAATCCAATTGAAATCAATAGTTTAGACTCGTGAAGTCAATTCAGACTCAATATCACCCCACAAATAAATGATGTGTAACTATTCACAATAGAGAAGGAAATTTTAAGAAATATAAAATCTTTTGATTGGGAATCAATCTTTGGCGAGTAAACAAGAATACAAACATAGAACAAATAAAGAAAAGATGTGAATTGAGAGATTAGAAAGGCATACAAGAGAAAAAGTTGGATTCTTTCTAGAGAAAAAGTTGGATTCTTTTTGAAATTGTCAAACAAAGAAGAGATTATTACATGTGGAGTCCGGACACAAAGAACCGTTCGGTTTTGTGATTGTGAACAGTAAAAAATGCAGTTATTGTTCACCACTGTGCTTTTACTGTTCAGTCACAAAATTGAACAATTCTTCGTGTCAGGACTTTGCACGTAATAATATCTCTAATCAAAGAGAAATTTAGACAACATTTATCTTATTTTTAAACGATTTACATACATACCACACAAATCTTATATATTTATATATCTAACACTTAACTTTTTAATTAACATCAAAAACACTAAAATATTATACAAATAACTATAAAATTTTAGATGGAAGATACATAAGAATCGTGTGATGTGCAGCTAAAAACCCTTTCTTTCTTATGTCTTATCTCACCAATCATTTTATTCTTCACAAAACATCTAATAAGATTATTAATATCCCAAATGAGAAACAAAATCTGAAGTAGAGCTCAATTATTTTGCTTCATTTCCAACATTCAACTCTAATGGTGAAAGAAAGATCAAAACTGGAGAAAGATTAAATGAAGAAAATAAATTATTACTCAGTTCCCTCTTGCTTCTAAAGTAATTTGTCAGTTAACTTCAGCTCTCAATTAAAAAAAAACAGTGGCTTCTTTATTCCTTTCTTCTCAATCATATTTTCAAGAAAAATTAGTATCTAGCACTGATCTTTCGATTGAGAGCTTTGAATATTAATCAAAAGGTCTTTGGTTTGAAGCTCCATGGATATCAGAAACCATCTAAGAAAGGAACGCCTAAAATAGATTTCCTCTCCCTCAAAGGTTTCAGGGATGGCATGGTCTCATAAGAGACGCAAGTCCATCTATTGATGTTTGCCTCTGTCTGAACCGGATATGGGATGCAGAGTCCACTATTCGGTTATTCGAGAGGCAGTTAAAGCTTTATCAACGGAGAAAACAAAACGAAATAAAACAGATACAGATACATAAAAGAGAAATGTATGAGGCCGCTTGGAGGAATCCAAATACCTGAAGCTCGAACAATGAACAAGATCAGATCGATTAGAGTCCCCTCAAAAGATCTCGATCGTTTCAATGTATGCCTCCTAACTAAGCAAGACGGCGTAGTATTCGAAAAAGCCAGAAGGCATCAACGATATCATCGTCTTGCTACTCAAAGAGGCAGTTGTTGAAATCAAAATATAGAAAAAACACACTCAACACCAGATAACTGGCAGGATTTGGTAAACTATGCACGAAGGGTGATTCAACTAATAATAGAAAGAAGATGCCTGATCATACCTGGGTTTTGACTTGAATGCCCATCAGATCTGCTTGCTAGCATTGAGAGGGAAATCAATCGGGTAAAATAGAGAGAGCTGAGGCGTTAGTGAAGTGGAGAACGGAAGCTGGTTTGCTAACGATGCAGGCGTTCTTGAGAATGCAGAGCTGCAGTGAGAAGGGGAAGAACAAATAACTCAAAACCCTAGATGCATATATATAGATGCGCGGGCTGTTTTGAGAATTGTACCGTAAACCGTTGGATTGAAATCACACGGTGGGAATGGAACTCGTTGCTTGTCGGGAAGTATCTTAAAAAATACCTCCAGCTATTAGTTTTCCATTTATGAATAATAGTAGAGAGATTAAAAAGTCTATCAACTCAAGAATATCAAACAAATAATCAATAACAAAGCAAAAAAAAAAAAAAAAGATAAAGAGAAGAGAGTTAGGTCATCCTTGTCGGTGAAGTATTGCTTGTTACATTATGAATCAATTACAAGCTGAATTCATTCAGGCAGTGATGAATGCTTTAACAGATCAACAAATCATCTAAAGCAGAAGACTATACAAAGCTGAGCCACTTGAAGGCCACAGCACCAGACAATCAGACAAACAGGATCATTACTACTAAAAAGGAAGAATCAATGCAGTACAATAACAAGAAGTCCCCCTATGCCGTCCCACTCGTCTCAATCCGAATGAGAGTCTTCATCTTCATCAGAGTAATCAGAGGACGAAGAAGAGGATGACGACATATAGTAGTAAACTCGGATCTGGTGCCGTCGGGGGTTTGGGTCGGGTAGACAGAAGAACGAGAAGAGGCAGAGGGCAAAGCGGCGGAGATGATGAAGCGGAAGGTAGAGTAGTAAGTGGAGGAGCTCGTCGTTGGTAAGTCTGTCCGGATTGCAGGCTAGGTATTGCGACCAATGGGCCGATGCCCGCGCCACCATCACCGTCCATCCGCCGCTGAACATGAGCACTTATTCGCTTGTTTTCTCTCAATCTCTCACTTAGACAAAGATGCAATGGAATTTGCAGAGCGAGGAAGAGGAGCTCGTCGACGTGGAGGAAGAAAGGCGAGAAAGGAAAAGAAGGCGGAGAACTTCAAGGAATGGTAACGTCCTGACATCTCCTTTCTTGCGAAGGTACTATACGCTAGTATATGAGTCGTTATTTTATTTTAAGGTTTTTTTTTTTAATTATTAGTTTTTAGTTCACAAGAAAGAATATTTGACAAAAAAAAATTGTTGAGTGCGTATAAATTAAATAATTTATAAGGTATTGATATCCCATCAAAAATCATCTTCATCAGACACGAATCTTAATGTAAATGAGATATAGAAATCTCAATGTAAATGAGATATAGAAGTTTTAAAAATTAAATTCAAGATTAACCGAACTCCAATTTCAGCAAACTTATAATCAAATTGAATGTCTCGAAAAGATGAACCCAACGACACCAAAATCAGTCAAATTTGAGCCCAAATCAAGGGACCAAAGCATATTTGAAAAATTCAAAGCATAATTTAGATTACCAAATAAATTCTAAACGTGACATGCTTATGATCGAATCGAGTGGCTCGACGAGAAGAATACAACTAGCAGAAGATCACCAAATTCTGATATCATTAAGACATCCAAATGCCCAATAAATGGTCCACAATCAAAGGAATTAATATCGGTCATCCATTCAAACCATTCTCATCTTGATCTTGATCCTCCCCTATTTATAAGACGTGTCACTCTTAAAAAACTATAAATAGGCCCCCATTCTTCACATAAAGGGAGGAGGAAAGGAGGAGGAGGGGAAGAATTTGTGAGCTTGCTTGCCGCAGACCACCGCCAGAGTTATTCCTGTCTGCCGACCAGCACCATACTTCCGCCAGTCTGTCGTCTAACACCGGCCTTTCGCCCGTTCGTTGACCACCATAGAAGCTCTTTTAAACCACTTCCACCAGTCTGCCGACCGCCGTCGGACTTCCACCATTCTGCCGACCCCCGTCGGACTTACACCTGTTTGCAAACCACCGCCGAAGTTCTTCCCAACCACCATCAGACTTGTCAATCCGCTGACCACCGTCGGACTTCCGCCATTCTTCTAACGACCACCACACTTCCTCTCGTTTGCCGACCATCGTCAAAGTTCTTACCGACCACCGCCAAACTTCTGCCAGTCTGACTGTAATATCAAAAATCTGCTCCAGGATCGTCCAGGACGATCTGGATCGTCCTGGGACGATCAGTTGTAATTTTGCTCCAGATTTGCCCAGTTTTGCTCCAGGTGATTTTTTGTACATATCGTCCAGGCCGATTTGGACATCGTCCAGGCCGATCGGCACTGTAGAAAATATCGGCCTGAGAATAGTTCTGGGAACCGTCCAGGACGAGTTTTGGAAGATTCAGTTCATAACCAAATTCCAAAGCCAGATCCTGGATAAGAAGGTTCTGTCGCGATCCGGCTCGGGCGGGATCCGTCCCCGTCGGGTCGGGTCGTGACACTGACCACCACCGTCGAAGTTCTTCCCAACCACAACCAGACTTTTGCTAGTCTATCGACCACCGCCGGACTTCCGCTCATTAACCACCACCGGAGTTCTTTCAAACCGCCGTCAAAATTCCAGCCGTTCATAGATCATTTACGATCCTTCTGACCTCCATCGCCCACCGATTACGATCTTTCTGATAACTGTCGACCAACTGCGACCCTTCCGACCACCGTCACCCGACTACGATCTTCTTGACCTCCGTCGCTTGCCGATTATGAATTTTTCGCCCCAAACGAACATATCAACGCTGATTCTTCCAACTCCCAGCATATAATGAACTTTGTATGATGTATATTTGCTACGTCGAGTCAAGACCTTCATTCGAAGGAAGGGTCGAATTTGTAATCAATTGCAAACATTAGTGGATTTATTTAAACTGGGCTAGGCCCCGTTGTTTTTCTCCTTTTTAGGGGTTTCCACATAAAAATTATGGTTTCCCCTATAAATTTTATTATGATACCCTCTTATTTATTTGTGATGGATATTCGTACAGAACTATGACGCTAAACTACATTACTCTCTACCACCGCAAATATTCCAGGACGCAACAGGTATCAAGAAATAATCTGATCAATATAATTTGAACCTGATCTAAAAAAATGAGTTCAAGTTGACTCATTTAATAAATTGATTGTATCAGATATTTGTTTGTTAAGCGTATTAGTTTACAAACTTGGGAACCCATTTTTTATCCAAAAATAGCTGCTTTTTTTTTTGTTTTTTTTTTTTTTTTTTTTTTTTTTTTTTTGCTTGTTTGTATGATTTTTTGTATCAATCAACATAAACTCTATAGTTGATAATTTTTAAAATAATAATTATTTATTTAGCATGGCTCCAATTTAGAGTGGCAAAATAACATGGCCAACCACCTTAAACCGGCGTCGGCCAACGACCACATCTAGCCACCCTACCATCATCAGTCACCGCCAACCACCACAATTTTAATATTTACACTACGTTTAATTTACTTCAACCCCAACAAGAAATAAATAAATAAAACTTGCATTTATTTTACACTTATCCAAATAATTCCAAATTATTTCAAATACACCAAACAACTCCTAAATGAAAGACATAATTCCAATGCAAATAAAATTTATTTAAGTTTATTTATTCAAAATTGAATAAATTCAAAAATAATTATAAAACCTCATACAAATGCACATGTTCATAAATATATTTGAATTTGAATATCAGGCCACTCATTTATTTTGTATTATTTGAATGTCCATTTATTTATTTAACAAATAATTTATCTGGTTAAGAAAAACCCTTAATTATTATCATATATTCTTAAATCAATTTTTAATATCCTATTTTTTTTAAAACCATATAGTTTTAAGAGCTGTAAATATGAAAATTATATATTAAAATTACTTAATATAATAGATATTATATTAATTTTTTAACATTATTTATTATTAGCATTTGGACATCATAAAATCTCAGAAAAAATATACATTATGCTCAATATTTTAAGTTCTATATGTGAATCACTATTAAACAAATTTGTTACCGTCAAAATTCTTAACCTCACAGAAAACAGAAGATTGCAAATAAACATTAATTAACATGAAAAAAAAAAATTCAATCGTTAATGCCAGCCTTACTTCTCTTCTTGCCTGCCTTCTTGCCAGAGGCCTTCGCCTTAGGACCCTTACCCTTAGCTTTGGGACCATTGCCCTTAACTGGACGGCCACCCCTCCCAGGCCTCCCCATCCCTTTAGTTCTCCTGTCTTTCTTCATCCTCCGGTCAACTACCACCTTCCCTTTACCGCCCTTCACCGCCACCCCCTTCTTGGCCACCACATACTCCTTCTTAGGCCTTGTTGGCATTGCCTTCTTGTACAGGTGATCGATCATCTTTCTCTTAGACCTTTCAGAAATGTCAGTCTGGTCTGAGATCGCATCGGCTTTCTTGCGAGCCTTCTCCATCTTCCTCATCACAGCTCGCTTCTTCCTCGCTTTCGCCTCTGCGACTTTCTTCGCCGGCCGGGCATCAATTTCCCTGAACTGTGCCTTCATTGCTGCAACTTCTTCCTTTGTCACAGGCTTCATTGGTTGGGAGTGCCTCTTCTCCTCTTCTGCAAACCAGTTTGGCAAGCCAACATCATCAAACATGTATTTGTTGTAAGCATCATCAAGAATCTGCTCCCTCTGCTTCTTTCGCAGCATCTTCTTCGCATAGGCGAGAATCTCTGCCTTCGTGTCGTCGTCTTCTTCTTCCTCTGATTCCTCATCGGAGGAGGAAGAGTCGTCGCTGGTATCCATGCGCTCTTCCGGAACTATCTCGAAATCTTCTTGGTTTTTGGCTTTTTGGGATTGCGGGGGACTGGGACCTTTTGGGAGCAGTGTCCTGTCCTCTGCGTTTTTCGAAATTTTTGGCGGCAAGAGTTTTTCTTCTTCACTGTCACTCGCCTGTAACACACCCTCTTCTGCTGCTGCAGCAAACACATCTTGACTGAACCATTGCTCCATTATTTGCTCTTGAGTTGGCTGGTCATCTTCATTTAATGGAACAACAAGAGGATTTGCTTCTTTCTCATCCTGATCCTGATCAGACCCAGGATCCATAGCTATATCTTCGCCATCGGCATTCTATAAGAGACAGGGAGGTGATACAACAAATTAAGCATCAGAACATCATGAACCCAACAATTGCATTAGACTTTCATACTTCAAAGCATCCACAAATAGTAAGATTTTCTATAGAACAGGAAAAGATAACAAAATTACTTAATTCTTAACCTAGGTACAAATAAGGGAAACACGAGCTCCACCAAATTCGAATTAAGCCAGACATCTGCAAAGATAAACCTTCCCAGGAAGTCATATTAAATATTTTACAAACCTAGAGCAGCAGCAGGAAGTCATTAAGACTAAGAAAATAATCTGCAAGGGGTTGAACAACAATAGAGGTCATAATTAGGAGGCTTCTTTTATGTTGGTACTTGCATTTTTCACCATGTGTTACACAGGAGGAATAAAAAGAAAAAAAAAACTGATAGGGAAGCCAATGAAGTTGGAAGAGTTCACATGTAACACAATGAGAAATCTTCTAATAGACCTTGGAATGAAGACAGAATGCTAAAATAAAGATGCTAACATTTTGTTTCAGCGTCAAGAACAGAATTTAAATCTGATCTAGATGCTTCGAAGGTTTAAACTTTAAATGTTGAAATAAAAAGCTTCTATGGAGGTGCTTTGTAAAGACAAAGATTTCATTTGGGATGGTTTTTTTCCTGCTTTCTAAAGCAATTTTTAATGCAAAAAATTTTTAAACTAGAAAACTACTTTAGAAAGCATTTTGAAAGCCGCCCCAAACGAAGCCTAAGAAGTACTCGTGTTAAGATTTATGGAAGCTGGGAAATGAAGTCCAGAAATTCTTGAATAAGAATTTATGATAAATAGAAGTGGGAGAAGAGTTTAAATGATTAGAGGGGAGCGATCAGAGCTCAGTGAAGGAAGTGTATGTAAAAATTAAATGGGAAAAAGGTCCGTTCAATTTGATGAGAATAGGGTTCTACAGTTGAGAGTTTAACCAAGTGAACAAAAAAAGGATGGTAGAGAGGTTTACCAAACCTGTATATAAAAAAGACATTGTTTCCATCAAGGAATTTCAAGGTTGGGATCAGATTATCGCTAGCTTTTTCAAGCTGAAATCTGCTACAATTTGAATCCCCCGTGACCAACCAAGGATCATCAGAGGAAGAGCCAAGATAAACAAACAAGAGATTCCCACAGAAAAGTTATATCAGTGTGTGTTGGCTTCTGGTATGTAGAAGTTTATTTGGATGATTTAAATTATACATGCTTTCGTATTAATTATTACGATGAATCTATAAAAGAATGAGTTATATTTTGTAATAATATAGCCAAACTATTTTTGACTCATGCGATCATGTTTAATAAAGTCATGATGGGTGTGATGATAAATATGTCTATGGTTGACTAAAAAGGTGTCAAAATGAGGCGCAACATAATATATTATCACCCATCCTACAAAGGCTACAACAAATGTTCACTCGTCATGTTAAATTAACAAAATAAGAAGAATGGAAGGCTGACAATTAAGAATCTCACCTGGAAGAATAAGAAAAGATAATTAACTAAATATTACAGCACACATGAAAACATGCACGTCAAGGGAAACAGAACCATGCCATATAAGTGATGTCACCGTATTAACATTAATTTCATAAAATACCTCCATTAACTCTGCATCTCCAATAGAAAGGCTTCGTTTGACACGTTTACGTTGTTTTGTGCTCCCTCCCTTCCTATTCAGATATCTTTCATAGACTTCATCAAGCATTTCCTCAACTTGCTCATCATATCTGTCAATAATCAAAGTTGCATTATTAAAAAAAAGTTTGAAAAATAAAAGTATAAAGTTTCAAAATGCTTATGTTTGTCAACATGTAATGATATTTTTAGCACATCAGAAATGTTGGTAGAACCAAAGACATACCGCCTCTGTTCCTCATCAGAATCTAAATCACTATAGGAATCAGCAGCAACACGAGTTTCTGCTTCACTTTCACTGCCTCCAAGTTCACCATCTTCATCACTGGCTGACTCAATTGTTTGCAAATCTTTTTTCCCCTGAAACATAATATGGAAGAAGATGATCAAACAATAAACTATTTTTCCCTTTTTTTTTCTTTTTTTGACACAAGAATAAGCATGCTGCCGAACAACAGATGAATCATAAGCCAATATCAGTATAAAAGTCATCTCTATAACATATAGATGTTGATAATCTAATCTACAAAAGCAGAGACAAATAAATATTAACAAATCAAAGGCCAATCGATCTAAAAAAGCAAAATAATAAACCATTATCCGCTTCTAAAGTACAAGAATGGCATCCAAAGAAAAAAAAAAAGGGAGTAAAAGATAGCAAAAAAGAACTTCATAAGGAGAAAAAATAATCAGATTCATAACAATGCTTGCCTCAAAGAAGAAAACATGGCAAAGGCAATTTTCTACCAATCTCAGCCATCACATTCAAAATTAGACATGATGCAACTATTTCATGGAACTGCAACGTATTATAAATAGCAGAAACCATAGCAGTTATTTCCATGAAAACAAAAAACAAAATACATTCCAAAAATACCTCTCCAATCTGAGCTTCGAACTAGCTAAAATTTCAAATTCAAAAGGTTATCAAAATTCAGCAACTTTGTTTACAATGGAAAATTGCATTCATTTGTAAAACCCACCCCAGCAACCCACATGCACAAAAGGGAGCATATGCGGTGTGTAACATGTCCAGACACCTTGAGAAGGGAAGAACCATGTTAACTAGCCTTCTTGAACTTCTAGGTAGCTTTAAATTAGATTAAGCATAATTATCAAAGAAATAAAAGAAAAGTAAGATTACACTTGGAACATTAAAATGCTGAAGAAAGTCCAAACTAAAAACCCCATTGAATTCAGAATAAATATCACAGCTACTTTTCCAATCCGGCTTTAAAAGTCTAAACTTATTTGCAAATGTTCTAGATACCCTGTAGTATAAAACTCAAAGCAGAGGCATAAAATCAAGAAAAAAACAGTTGAAGGGAAGCCAAAAAATGTTCTAGCAAACCTATATATACGATGAATAAATTTGTTGAAAAAATGACTTGAATGGAATACAGAGAGTCACCACCAAGGAAAATAACACTATAAGGAGAAGCATGATCAAGTAATCACAAACCTTTATTGCAGTGAGCGAGAACAACTGTTTATCAAAATAACTGTCTTCAGTGGCATCAATTTGTATACCCAATGCCTTGCGCGCTTTATCCTTGGCACGGCGTTTTTCAAGGAGCTTCCTTGCTTTCTTTTTCTTGCGCTCCAATGCATTTGTCAGCTCCTCCATTTCAATAAGTAAACGTTCATCCTCATCAGCCTTCACATCTTTTTTCACATTTGCAACTTTTGAAGCATCTTTATCTGAGGATGACAGTGCCTTTCTAATGCGCATCCGCCACCTAAGTACAATATACACATACAATGGATTCAGTTGAAAATTCAACTTGCAAATTCAAACATAGAAACAGACTCAAACAACACAAGGTCGATCTACTGGAGTACCCATAATTCCACATATCTAACACCAACAAGAAGAAGTACGTGAAATGCCAAAGCAGACTTCATAAATTATAAAAAAAAAAAAAACGTTTGAGATGCATACCTCAAGGCATGTCTCAAATTGAGGCTCATAAACAGCACCTCGAGGCATAAGCCTCACTGGAATCAATGAGGCTAGCGTGCTTTTTAAGCAAGGTGCATGTCTCAAGGCATTTTGAGGCTGCGCCTCACTCAAAATAGAATTCTAAAATTTTGTGTTAATTACTATTAGTAAAAATATATCATATTATAATACCACCCCACCCACACGACCAGCAACTGTACTAAGGATCAAGTGGGATCGGGATACAGAGGCAGAAAGCTAGCTTCATCTTCTTCGAATGTATTCGTCCCTCGTCATCATCATGTTGTCACATTCAATTTAGCTCATTCGTCATCGTGCCATTACTTGCATTCCCACAAATCCTCGAGTCAGTGGGATCGGAATAGGGAGACCTAGAGCTGCATCTTCTTCATCCCTGTTGCCTATAATACGCAAGCCATCGCAAGGCACAAGGTTTGACAGCAGGTCGACTGTGTCAGTCTTCTTCACAGCATAAGTTAGTGAACTTATACTTTCTTTTTCTCAACTAATTAAGAAACTTTGCTTATTTCATAGGTACAGCTAACTTCATTGTTCTACAATCAATAACATATGACAACCTTTTGAATCCCTTTACTCTTGCATTGATATTTGTTTCTTGATAGTATGAATGTCTTTCACTATTTAATCAAGAAATATATGCAAATTTGAGAACCTATTTATGCAACTGTTAATCATGAAGCACTCGATACTACTTATGTCTCATTTGGTTGCATGAAGATGAAAAATATGTTTTATAAAGTAATTATTTTTCATGTTATAATAACATCTAATGTGAAAATTTGTGGTTCATATATTTATGATGATGAATAAAATAAATATGTTGATGGTTTATTTTATTTTTGTCATTTTTATGAATTATTTATAATTTTATCATTAGTTTATATTATATTTCAAGGCTTACATATCGATCCGCCTCAAGATTTATGCCTCGCCTCACTAGGGACAAAACATGTCAATTCTCAATTTCACATTTTTAAACATTGGTAAATACTAACTCAAGCCCATTTACAATAATTTTTTACATGATCCAAGTAAAAGGCCAAATAAATGCCAAATAAATGTACCAATGACACCAGTAGAAAGCAATGACTCAAGTAAATCAAGGTAGTAGCAGACTTTTCTTTTAATACTAAGGAAACAAACGAAGTTAGCAGATAAGATTACTAAATATTTTAGAAATCAAAATGACTACTAAAGCAGACACACAAACAAAGAAGATTAAGACACTATAAGGTCAATTTAAAAATTATGTCAATAAAAAAAATATCCAAATAGAAATCATATCAAAGATAGAAAAAAATGGTACAAGAAAATAAAGTTCAACTTACCTCAAAAGATGCTTGAAGCTATTCTTGTCTAAAACATACAAATCCTCACATAGTGATTTAATCTGTCCAAATAAAGATAAAGAACCAGTAAGAAATAAAAGGAGATAGATGCCAAGCAGCCTTCTCAGAACAAAAGGAAAAAAATAGATGAAATTAAGAATACCTCATCTGTTGTCAAATCGTGCTCCTTAACAGATAAAGATGATGAATCCTCAAACGATAATGCGTTAACCGAGCCAAGAAACTCAAGTGGTGAGTCTGACCATATAAAATCAGACACTTTCCCGACCTTCCATAAAGTCGTAATTCCATCCTCATACCTACATGCAAAATCAGCATTTTTAGTACACAGGAAAAACATAAAATGATCCTAACATAACAATTAAGGAAAATGTAAGATAATTTCCAGAATACGCAGTTTTAGAATGAAAACATATTACAAAAAAAATAATGGACAATCAACATCGACCAAGCAGGGGAAAGAAATGGTGGCAACTTATAAAATTGATGGATAAAACATAAGAGCAGGATCAGAAACAAATGCTTTGTCAGCCTCTACGAGCTTAAAAGATGCATGAATAAAAAAATTGGATGTGCTCTCAAATGCATTTGTGAATTATCAAAATAATCCATCTCTGCATGTACAACGAAAAGCTACATAAGTAAGTAACATACGCAGCAACAACAACAACAAAATCATCAAGCCTTTATACCTTTACGGGGGTCGGTTACATGAATTTTTTTTTCTTCATTGGGTCCTATTAAGAATTAAATTCTGATTTAAATCTAATAAAAATTGTCATTCCTAATACTTTCTAACCACATCTTTTTAGGTCTACTATCTCTACCTTTCTTAACATAGGATAGATCTAATACATCTACTCTCCAAACCAAATCATAACCATCTAAAGTGATTATCTCTAATCTTATTTGCCACTTGAGCTACTCCAACCTTTTCATGTATATACTCATTTTATATTATATCTCTAAGTGTAAAGCCACTCATCCACCTGAGCATTCTCATCTTCGCAACACTTAACCAAATTTTATGCTTCTCTTCTAATGGCCAACATTCTACGCCATTTGTAGGTCTCAGCACCATTTTATAGAATTTTTCCTAAGTTTGAGGGGTATTTATCTATCACACAACAGGCACAATGCATTCCTCCACTTAAACCATCCAAGTTGAATTCTATTAATAATATCTCCATCCATTTCAACAACGCTTTTAATAATATTGTTGTCGGGTCTCAACTCCTGGATGAGAAAAATGAAGGGTTGCATTAGGTAGTCAACAACCAGCATAAAATTTGTCAAACAATCATGACATAATTTTTTTAATAAATGAGCATAAAACTTATATGATGATATGTACAAGTATGCATGCATAGGTGTATATGCATAACTCAGTTACTTTGGTGAGAAAAAGAGTTCCATGTTGCTCAAAATTTGTTCATGTTTACTCATTTAGCAATGAACAAGACATTGAATACTACAACAGGTTTTTTGACAGCTTGAGAAAATAAAAAGACACATTTCTTCGCTTCTTCAAATACCGCTTTAAATTGATTATAAAAGATAACATAAATGGTGCTATTTTACTGGTTGTTCTAATGAACAAAAAAAAAAGAACTGTCGATATCCTATTCTGAACTTGTATATCAAAGCTCGGGTCAGGACGTAAATGTTGACAGATCTGTAAACCTGCTGAAACAAAATGATTGAAGTATATCCCAAATATTACTGTGTCATTAATGTAATACTAGAAACTGCAATCTCAAGCTCAAAGCAACCCTCATGATATATGGGAAAGAACCACCACAACTCATGTATCTGCTTCAAATGAGGATGAATAATTCACTTTTCTGCAAACCTTGGCATACCAGAAGGCTCCGAACATAATAGGCAGTAAAAATTGAGGATCAACTATGCTAATAGACAACATCCAGTAGAATTGGTTGACAGGGTTTGGAGAAAAGCGATTGATTTCACAACAAAATTGGTTCTCTATATTGGGGATATTCTCAATTAAGAGAATATTTGCATAATAAAAACATAATATTCCAATTACTAACTTTCTAATTTGAAAATTATCTAAAATAATACTCACCCTCAAGCTTGAACGTATGTATCGGAAAGATTGAGTCTGCAGTAAAGATTACAGAATTGAAGTGATCCCAGAGCCTTCATAAAAAATGTCTTCACTAAAGATACATCATTGAGTGATGATCTTCTATGATAGAACATCATCTTTAACAAACTGACAATCTACTTCAATACATTTTGTTCTTTTGTGAAAATTAGGTTTGTATGATTACTGCACTTTAAGAATTATAGCTTTAGTAGCAATCAAGTCAAATTCATAATACGATTTTTAATCCACAACATTTGATATGCAAAATGGGTCACTACTCAATATTTGGCTTCAACATTTATTATTGCAAAAACAATATATTTGCCTACTTCTCCATGAAACAAGATTTCCTCCCACAAAATTATATTAAATTGAACTAGGCTTTCGGTCCAATAAATCCAGTCCATTCAACATCAAAATAGGCTTCAATTTATAGATAGTTTAGTTTCTAGAAACAAATTATTTTCCCAGATGTTTCTTAATATATCTTCAAATCTTTTAGACAACATCTCAAAATTTATTCTTTGAATTTTGTATATATCAAGAAAGCAAATATTCAATCGTTCTAAAGTGCATACATGGTGCCTCAGCACAATTCAGGCATTTACGTGTCAAGGCGAACGCCTTGAACTTGAAACGCGAGGCGTACGCCTCAAATAAACAGAGGAGGCACGCCTCGTCTCACTTTGACTAGGCGTTCGCCTCTTAAAAAGGTATTATAAAAAAAAACTAAACCTAATCTATATTCTTATTTCCTTTGTATTCGACTTCGAGTGCTATTCGACTTTGCCCGGACACTTTGAACGTCAGCTCTTCGACTTCGCCTGCGTGGGTTCTCCTTTGCCCGTTAACTTCGCCTGCATTCATAACTTCGTGTTATGCTACTTCGCCTAGAGTTCGGCCGCCTTCCTCTTCTTCATGTTCCTCCTCTTCGACTTCGCCTAAACATCGCATGTTAGATTTAGGATGTGTTATTAAAACTTCATTGCATTCTTCGATGAAGTTCTAAAACCTTCACTGACTTCTTCTTAGAACGCTCGTAGGTGGAGAAATACGTGAGAGTATCTTGATCATTTTTAAATAAAATAAGACTAATTTTTTTAAAATTAAAACCAAAATTATTATTTTTTTATTAAAGAAACTTTCTTTTCTTTTTATTTTGAAAAATTATCATTATTTAAAAATTATATTTAATAAATGATTAATTAAAAAATGACCAAAATATCATTATATTTAACACTACATTGAATGTTAGGACAAAAAATATCTCATTTTAAAGAGTTGGGGGACCAAATTAGACCCTCAAAAGAGTTGGGTGTGAGGAACCATTTTGGTCTTTTTTATCTTTTGCTTTTATTGTTGACGGTGACAAAAGTACTCGCTCTAAATGTCACAAGGTGCATGCCTAATAATTAGTTTTCACATTTAGTTCGTGTAGCTAGAAAACTGGAGCTGGAACCTAATGAATCAAGCTTTCAAAAGCAAATAGCAACATAAGTGATTTTAATGTATCATTGTCATTTTTTCAGGCAATAGAAATCTTGGATAAAAAACATTTAACTCTCCTTTATCCTAAAAAACATGACCTCAAGAAATGCTTTTTCCTGAAGTGTACATTGACACCAATTTCATAGGTTTAATGATACATGTTAAATAGAAGATAATCGCATGACTGGGCAGAAAAAAAATCATGCTATCAACAACATTCTTTAAATGCCAATGTTTTATGTCTGTAATGCTAATAGCTTCAATTACAAAATCAAAAACTTTTCCTAATTACAATATTTTCAAAACTATAACCTCAGTAATCAGTGCTTCATAATTTTGGCAATAGTGTATACAGTGTCGGAAAGAAAAAAAATACTTTACCCTGATAAGAGTATTATTTTAGTGAAAGAAATCTACGATTTTCACAAACACATACCACATGATCGATTGAAATATTAGACTGTGTTTAAAACACAATTTTCAAGCTTATACATCCCCTCATTTTCTTACGCATAAGTAAAAGCATATCCACCTCGATAGCAGTGATAGAGTTTAAATTGTTCAAGATAATACAACTAGTATTCATACTGCATATGACATATTTCAACGTGTTAGCATCAATTTATATCAAAACTTAGAAATGCTTACCCTTCGCGGTTTCTCTTCTGCTTTGTCCCTCTTAGAACATCGATAACCTATTAAAAAAATATAAATTCCAGCATCAAAGAAATACTAAACAAACTATTAAAAAAAATAATGTAAAGACTGTAAATTTCAACTTAACTACTACCTTAGGTTGCTCTGTCGATGCCTGAAATAGATGTTTCACATCAAGGAGACGTGGGTCTATTTTAGCTGGGGCCTTGTATCTTTGACCAATAACATAAATTTCTGCAGAGGTGCTGCGACTAGCTACTGGTTTAGTTACCTCAACTTTCTCAAAAAGCTGTAAATAAGGAACAATTAATTTAAGGCAACTCAAGCTTCGTTTTGGGACGGCTTTCTTGCTGCTTCTTAAAGCTGTTTTATAGTACAAAAATTAAAATTTTTGTACTATAAAGCGGCTTTTAGAAGCAGCAAGAAAGCTGTCCCAAACAAAGCCTTAGTTATCAAGCTATGTAAAAGCTCAACAGAAAATGAACAATGAGATGGCCATACCTGTTTAAGGCAAAATATGATGGCACTATAATCCTGTGACCTAAAAACCTACCAAGATAAAACAAATTTACATATATAAGGCAAATCGAACCATAGCATGAAGAGATTTACTAAATAACAGATCATGTCTTTCTTGGAAATGAAAAGTTGATAAAAATTTATCTTGTGTCATCACATTATTGCGCTCACTAAACGGGTAGATACATAAAATCTAATGATATCCAAGAGGCAAACTGAAAAACGAATTATGCAACCTTAAAGTAAAAGCAAGTAGTTATTTCAAATCAAAGATTACCACATTCAAGTGTTTCAGTTTGCTGCAAATAAGTTGGCCACATATAGTAATGCAACTGTAAGCTTTAAGGTTTAGAGATGACTGTCCTAATAAAAGGATGAGTATGCTCACCAACTTCAGAAGAAAAAAACCATAAGTATGATCCGCATTAAAAGTCAGATGGTCTCAAAAGTCTTTTTTTTTTTCAGATTCCATGGGTTTATATGATGCTCCGCTTCTTTGTGTTATATCATTTAATCTGAGCCACATAACTAAGGATGAGGATCTCCTGCATTCTGAAAAATGGTGATTTCTGAATTAACAGTACTAAGCCCCAGAAAAAATGACATCACGTTTCTACCATTGCCACTAGAACATTGCCAAGCTTTGAGTTCTTAAGACTACTTTTTTTTTTTGTGCGAATAAAGAGAGCTAGATCACTTTATCGCATGTCCCAGCATCAAACAGACGTAAATAATGGAACCCTATAGTTACTTTGAAGTATTCCCCACCCAAATAACTTCAACTTGAAGGAGTTCTCCTGGTCCTATATTTATATCAACCCAATACTTAATTTGCAGACAATATTTTCATTTGCAGCCCCTAAACATAGAGAATGCTGCTCCTGGAGAGCAGTATAGAATTCTCAACTCCACAAATATCTTCCTATTAAGAGGGCAGGCAACTTCATAGACCTTCCGACTCCTAGAGTTCTCAGCCCACCTCTTTGAGCGGATAGATAAAGTTTAATTTCTTATGATCTAGAACTCTTTAACTATTTTAAGCCATTAGAAGTCATAATATATAATTTGCTCATTTAGCCCATTCAACCAAACAATAGAAACAAATTAAAATTTATGAAGCTTCTCTGATGATGAATAAGGGTTCCTGTTGCAGAAGCCTGAATTTTTCATTGGAATGGTGGCATAAACTATTGGGTACTCCAAACAATCATATTCTCTAAAGGTATGTTTGTTTTGAAGGAATTGAATTAACATTTTACTTCAACTTCATATTGATTTGTTAGCTTTTATGTAATTAAATAAGTAAATGGATTTAATTAAAAACTGTGAAACAAATGCATTTTTTCTCATATATCTTCCTATTATGAGGTAGATAACTTCATAGACATTTTTTAATGAAGCCTTCCCGGCAGCCCTTGGATTCCTATAAAGAAAGAATGACGATAAAAATTTATTTTATCTTTTGGCATATCATGTACTCGGTGTTACCTATCTCTCTCTGGTTTTCATGTCAAAACTCAAATAAATCGCCTTTTAGTAAGATCGGGTATCACCACGGACATATATTGATTCAACAATTAATACACACAATGTTTCACTTCTTATGATCAAACATTACTATTTAAACCATTATAATGCATGAAACATTATATTGCAACTTTGACACATTCATCGTTGAAATAGCAACTGAAGAAAAAATATGACGTTTCTCTGCAGATTAATAAGAGTTCCATATTGCAGTGTTCAGAGTTATTTTTTCTTACCACGCGCTAATGGATAATCCAAACATTTTAGTTTCTTAATTTCCCATCATCATGCAGATGGTTTAATCAAAATAAGTAAACCAACCTTGGTTAGGAAACTGCCCTTGGGGGCCAAGAAACTGGTAGCAAGCCGTATGGAATCAACAACGAGAGAAGACTGCATCGTCGCATCCTTTCCCCACGCAGCACCAACATTCGGCGAACCATCATGAAGAACAATATCGAAGACGGAAACGCCGTTCGAATCCATTAGTCGCTTGATAGCGGCACGGCACCGCGGGGTAGTGATATCCTCCGCAATGGTGTGCGCGCCTCGTATGGGGCGTATGGGCACGAGATCAACGCCGAGAATGAACGAGCCGACGGGAGCGTGGCGGACGGCAACCTGTAACCAGCCACCGGGTGCTGCGCAAAGATCGAGCACGGAGCGTGCAGTGGGAAGGAAACGGAACTTGGCATCGAGTTGTAGGAGCTTGAAAGCCGCGCGAGAGCGGTAGCCTTGCTCTTTTGCGAGATGGTAGAACTTGTCGAGGCGGTTCTTTCCCGTCTTCGTCTTCCCCATTTTGTACGAAGAGCTTGAACCTTTGGTAACGGCGGCGGCGGCTGAACTCCGGCAATGAAGTGTAGATCGTAGAGCCGGAAAGCGATATATTAGGTCCGGCAATAGAAGGAAGTATGCTAGGAGTCGGGAAGAGGAAGGTAAGGGTTTTGGGGATTGTAGGATTAAAGTCTAACTGCCGTTTGATTTGAATCATGCGGATACTGATGTGCTTAGAAATTAATAATTCTTAAAGTTTTCTTTTAACTTATATATCATCAAAATTATATATAAAGGGATTTACATATAAGCAAATAGCTCACTCATAAATATAAGTTGTATAATATTTTATTATATTAATTTATTATTATTATTATTATTTATGATATATTTAATTATAGGGGTGTCAATATTTGACACGACCCGAAATTTTTAGTTTGAGTTGAATCGAACCTAAGCCGGGTCGGGTTTAAATTAGGGATTTTCGACTTGTTTGTAAAACCAATCGCGTTCTTGTTGACCCGGAAACCCAAAATCAACCCAGTTAGACCTGGATTTCCAGCTCAGTCACGTCGTCCAACTCAATCGCTTCCTTCTCAGATGTCGAGTCAGTCATGTCGTCCCGTTCAGTCGCGTCGTCCAGCTTTGTCAAGCTCATAGGTCATTGTCGATCGTTTCTCAAACGCTGGTCCGACCTCCGGTCCGTTCGTCGTCAATGAGCGCTGCCTCGCATGCCCTCTATGGCCTAGTCTGCGGCCCGACGCTACCTTAAGACCTAATATTGTAGTCATCGCCCATCGGTGACCCCTCCTGTTGTTGTGTTGTGGCCTAGCAAGCCATGTGCCCGCGAAATCGCGTGAGATGGGTCGTGTCAGGTTTACTCGAACCCGAGGAGGGTCGAGTTCAAATCTGGGAATATTACCAGTTTGTAAAAACGGATTGAGTTCAAGTCGTGTAGAATAGAAGCGAGTCACTGTCGAGTTCAATCCGAACCCGACCCGTAACCCATTTTTGACACCCCTAATTAATTAGTCTATCTTGACTTACAAATATATTCCATCAGCTTTAAAAGTCACATTTCTTAAATCTCTGGAAAAATAATGCTAACAATCATATATATTTTGGCTCTATGTGCCCTAATTTTACCTGATTCTATCAATAGAAATATGTGGTAACATTTTTATAGAGTTATTGTGTAATTATTTTTGCATTGAAAATTTTTTCTTATTTTATTATTGAACATCTATTCAGTATTATAGCATTAAATCTCTAAAATGCGTGTTTATTAATGGCCTTTTCTATGAATATTTGTTTATGGTTTTGTGATATTTATCAGAAGCAAATATTTTTGTTGTTAACCTCCACTCGACCATCGTCATCGAATCTCCATCTAGAGACCATTACTGAGTATCCTTTTGACTACCCTTGCCCGGCGACTATGATCCCTCTGATCTACCGACCTTGTCGCATTGCCAACTACGATGTCTCTGAAATCAATTGCTCACTGACTATGGTCTCTTACATCCGTCGCAAGCTGATTACGGTGTCTCCGACCCCAATGACCCGACCATTACGGTCGCTCGAACCATCCAACCTTCGTTGCCCACCTCTAATGATCGCTTTGACCTCCGTCGATCGCCAATGACGGTCCCTCCAACCACCATTGTCTGTCGACTACCATCTGACCTTCGTCGCCCACAGACTATTGTCACTCCAACCACTGTCGCATGTCGACTACAACCTCTATTACCCGCCAACTACATTCCTTCTGATATTCGTCGCCCACTGAATATAGTCAAGCCGACCACCGTTGTTTGAATATGGTCCCTCCAACCACCACCACTCACCGACTACAATCCTTCCGACCACCGTCGCCTAAATATGGTCCCTCCGACTACCGTTATCTAACTATTGTTCCTCTGACCACCGTTTTTCGACTACGATCCTACCAACCAAACAATCGGACTAACAATCTTATGAGAACAACTCTTATATAATTGGATTCTTCTAACTCCTAACTTTATGACTCTTGGACTTCTCTCTCTCTCTCTCTCTCTCTCTCTCTCTCTCTCTCTCTCTTTGTGCTTGATTTTTATAGAAAGCTCATATGCTAAACTCTATATCTCTCTATTGCTATAAATGTTTTAGGTCCCAACAAGCCTATTTATGGAAATCTTAAAATTATTACATATGGAAAGGTCAGCGATGATGTGGTTAGTGATGGTGGCATATTTAAGGATTGTTTCGCCAATGTTATTTCTACTCTTGTTATTTGTTATGTTGAGATAAAATACGTATTGAATATACTTCTTCAGTGTTTCTGTATTGATGAAAATTTTCTTGATATACATCATTCTCATTTATGGTAAGTACTTGTATTGTTGTTGCGTGCTACAAAATTCATGTTGATAGAGAAAGAGTTTTGCATGAATATCAAGCTAATATATAAATGAAAAAGAAAAAAAAAATGTATGAGGCATGAAAGTTTTTATATGAAACTTTTGGAGTTGAGAAAAATTATGGGGTGTTACTTAATTGAAATAATCAAATATATACTTGAAGTTACACAAGTAAGCTCTTCCCCACAATTGAAGAAGAGAGGACTACAAAATTGATAGCACATAATTGATATCTAATAAACATATTAGAAAATTGAGGGAGAAGTTTTAGGGAGATGATGCTAGGTGTTGGACGATGTCAATCAACCAATGGTGCAATGACGACGATAATCCGACGATGGAGGTCAGCTGATGGAATTTAAATAATGGCATATTATAATAGTTGGGTGGCAATGGTTCGATGATGGCGATACATTGACGATGGTAGTTGGACAATGACAGGATTTGATAGTGACCATCGACATCATTGGTCATGTAAATCACTAGAGTTATACATATCTTTAAACTTCGATCCCAAGTGTATGACACTTTCATGCGAAGAATGATGATCCATATATAGTTTACTGGGACTGACAAATTGACCAACATAATAAAAAAAAAAAAGCGTAACCCTTCATCAGAACGATGAATAATTTTATCGTAGATTGTTCATTCACTATCAAGTGCCCTACAAACATCATAATCAAATGAGATTGTGCATGTTAGATTCGTCTTGTCGAGCTACTTGATTTGACTATAACCATGCAATATTTTGAGAATGTTTGGTTTTTTTAATTAATATACATAAGTTTTTAAATACGCTTCAAGTACTTGATTCATATTCATTTGAGCTCAAATCAAACCATCTTCAGTGTTGTTGAATTAATATTGTTAGTAAGTTCTATTTGATTATAAATTTGTTAAAATCAAATTTTGAATGATCATAAATTTAATTCTGAAAAATTCTAATATGAAAAAAAATACATTAAATTTTTACAAATCAGGAGAAATATTTAGATACATATGAACAACAATTGAAATATAATTTTGGATGGTAAATGTTTGATCATTATTATTTTTTTAATAAAATACCCTTTATTTCAAAAAGAGCCTTGCTCGATGACGTTAACATGTATGGAAGAGGTCGAGAGAATCCACCAAGGCTATGACATACAACATCTGATAGGTCTTACATCATTGGTGAATTCTCTTGACCTATACTATACATGTTAACGTCATCGAGCAAAGGCTCAAACATACAATCTCAGATAGAACAGTTATTACGTCCTCCGACCGGACATAGAGGAACGTCCGGTCGGAGGGCAAACCGCGCAAAAAAAAAAGAGAAATACCGAGCAAATACCAAACAATAACGAGGAATACCATCACGTGAAGACCCAATACCGAGTTATACCGAGCTATACCGAGTTATACATAAGTTGTACCGATTTTTTCCTAGAAAAAACTCGTACAACTCGGTATTGCTCGGTATAGCACGGTATAATTTGGTATTGATATTCACAGAGCGGTATTCATTGTTATTATCAAATAATACTTAGTAATACTGAGCAAATACCGTGTTTTTTGGCGAGATTTTGCCTCCGATCGGACGTTTCTCTACGTCCTTACACTGGACCTAATAAAAGTTCCCTCGGATTACATCATGCACAGTTTTTTTTTTTTGTGACATTTAGGCCATTTAAGGCAAACTCACACACACAACGCATACACAGAGACTCGAACCTTAGACCTCTTAGTTGGAAGCCTTAGCTCTCAACCAATAGGCCAAGGAGAGTTGTGTATCATGCACAGTTATTAGTTAGTACTATGAATATGCATTGTATATATCTATAATAATAAAGCCTTAAAAAATTAATCAACACATAATTAACAAAAATAATTAATGATTATTAATTTTACTATGGTCAGTGAGGGAACCCATTGACGATGCTTTCAAACCCTCTCGGAGAAAAAAACAAAATAAAAATGAGAGAGATAAAGCGCACTCTCACTCAATCGAGTAATTGGTGACCAAATCATCCAGCGTTAACCTCCGACGACGAAGTTGGTCTCTGCCCAATCCTAAAGTTTTCACCTTTCTACCCTCGCATGATTGTTTTCCCTCCATCAGATACTTCTGAGCCGACAAGATTCCGCTTCTTTGGAGCGCCGGGCAAACCCCACTTACTCCGGTACGGGTATCTCCATTAAAGCACGCTTCTTATTCGTAGGAGAGAGGGAGAGCTAAGCTGGGCTTAAGCTTTCGATTTGTCTCCCAAATTCTCCTATTTCTCTGTGTAGCGCAGAGGCTCGGCCATGGCTTCTGCAGCTTCGTGTTCGTCGGTTTATGTGGCCGTGAACTCCTTCGGAAGTTTAAAGGGTTATAAGCGGCCGTGGAGGGTCCGGGCATCGTTGGACAGCAAGGTATCTGATATGGGCGTCAATGGTGAGATTTTTAAACTAGGTTCTTTATTCGTGCAATCGTTCCTGATGATGAATTTGGATGGTTTTTTGGATTTGAGATTTAGATTTTCATGTTAGTTTCTATAGAAAAGTGGATTGTGAGCGTATTGACCATCTCCATTGTTCGGCAAGCAGCCGAATGGAGGCCCTAACCGAACGCCATTTCTTCCACCTTTTGATTGTAGTTGAACAGTGCGACGTCAATATTGGCGCACTGTTCACTTGCGCCATTTTTTTCTCTCTACCGAACTAGTCTGAGAAAGGCTCGAAAGAAACGAGCGATGATTTGAAGGATTTGGGGCAAAATGGCGTTCCACTGGATATTTTACTGCATTTTAGTGAAAAATGAGAATTTCGGTTGGAGATGTACATGGGAGTTTGGTTGGTTTGGGCATTGAAAAGGTTTCTGTTTTTCATCTCTTTGCCATGGTTTTGGTTGTGCTTAGGACTAAACGTGTTCCCAAGCTGGGTATGGAATTTAAAAAGATATTTGCGCTCTGTAAGGAGGCCTGAAATTAGATTGCGAGCAAATAGTTGTTTTGGTTTGGGAAATCAATTACCAAATTTATCTGTTATGCTGCTTAATTTGTTTTATGCTCTTCATTTGAATATGTTCCTACTGACTATTAGGAAGATATTAAAATAAGAAACCCAACCCTTTCTACATATATTTCTAGATAATGCTTTAGAACAAAAGAAAAAGAAAAAGAAAAGATTGGCTGGAAGATTTGAATGGGTTTTCTCTGTAGTTCTGCAAAGACTATGCTTTAGAATTTGATAATCTTCTCCTTAGTTGTGTGTATTATATGGTACTATTGCTTCCATTAATTTATGGTTTCCAAGTTTTAACATATGATTACAGAGGGCCTAGAATACTTTCTGATTGATCATGCCAATGACCATCAACTATTATTTTAACCGCATCTTGTGGGCTTTCAAGCTGCGCCAATTCATCCTAATAACTTATTCACATTCTTATCGAAACTCAATTACTTTCTATCATATTTTTCTTGTAGGGTTTGTTTGGGATGACTTTTTTATTGCTTTTTAAAGCAGCTTTCTAGTATAAAAATTAAAATTTTTTAACTAAAAAGCTATTTTAAGAAGCAATAAGAAAGCCGTTCCAAACGAAGCCTTAGTCTTTATTACAACTGCTAGTAACATTCGAATGTATTGTATGTTTCTTTATTTTTCAATAGTTATGAAATCCTTCCAGTTGATTGATATTGATTAGAACTTAGAAGTTTCCCCTTACATCTTGCTTATATTTTGGGGAAAAAAATATTGGAAGTCATATATTTTTATAAAAGAAGAGGAACCTTATGCCATTATATTTATATTTTTCTTCCTTGTCCCAAATAATTGTGATAAGGCGAAAGATGTTGATGTTGGTAGGTGGAATTCTTGTTTTGTAATAGTAGTTAAATTTATCTTATCATCTAGTTTGAATTTTGAGCCAAGTTTCTTTCAAATTTTTACATATTTGGAATCCACGCTTTGAAATGTGCATGTGATAAGCTTAGACAGTTGATTAAGCAGGAAAAAAAAGGAAGTTCTAAGGTTTCATGGATCAAAGCTGTTGGAAATGATTTGCAACACTCAAGATTGGATGAAAAATGATGATTCGGAAAATTAACCACTATTAGTTTTGATAAGGTTAGTTATAATGATGATGATAGACTTAGGCATGAATCTGACTTTTTGAAATGTTAATTTTTTTAGTGTTGTTCAAATGAGGATTTAATTTCTTCAGAAAATTTATATTGTTTTTTTTAGCATTCTCAGTGTGATGTTAGCATTTTTTATTGTGGGTGTGGTGCAAGAGTTGTTTCAATCTAATACTGTGGGATGTGATTGTCAATTATGATAATTTAGAAGAATAATAGGATTGCTGGGTTCTTATGTCTGCAATGGTGCTTGTGAGTGGTTTTGGTTGGAAAATCTTCATAAGCTGCCATAGCATGCAACATACTTATTTTCCTTAGCTGATTTTCTGTCATTGCAAAAGTTATACTTCATTAATTCCTTCATTGTTTATTAGCTAATTAAGGCTTTACAAAGTTGTCATTTCTCTTTGAGCCTGCTAAAGTGAACTTTCCTCGAGCAGCTCCAAAAGGGTTATTTCCGCCAGAGCCCGAGCATTACAGGGGACCTAAACTCAGAGTTGCTATCATTGGATCTGGGCTTGCTGGCATGTCTACTGCAGTAGAACTTTTGGATCAAGGGCATCAGGTAAGATGACGTTATGTTTTGTCCAGGATCTGATTTGTCACTTTTCAAAACTAATTATACCACAACAACAACCACACAAGCCTTTGTCCCGCTATGTGGGGTCGGCTACATGAATCCTTTTTTGTCATTGTGTCCTGTTAAAAGTCAAATTATCATTTAAATCTAATAAAGAAAGATCATTTCTAATATTTTCAAAACTATTTATGAGAGAAAATAATCATTTTCCTTTATTTACTATATCCCCAGGTATGAATCAGTTTTAATATTTGTATGCATGTTGATTCATGCTAAATGTTATATTCATGTCCATAAACATTGAGTAGGTGTTTGGTAGTTTGACTTGAGGTTTCATCAATATTTTTGTTTCTCTTGTTGTGTTATTTGGGATCATATCGGTTTGTTTTGTCTAAAAGTGATACTCACATATGTTCTATGTGCTCTCATAAAATTTATCAGTGATGTCTTTTTTTCCGCACTTATTTCTCGCACTTTTTTGCATCTCCCATCACTGAAATATTTTTTCTCTCTGTTTAGGCAAGTCATTTTGCTTATTTCTTTACACTTTTGCTGCTTGCTTTCCTTATATATTAAGTATTTTTGCTTCTGTATTTTTATGTTATGCACTTGAAAGCTTACATGGGACAAACAAATCAGTTTGCTCTATTTTGCAGGTTGACATATATGAATCTCGACAGTTTATTGGAGGCAAAGTGGGATCTTTTGTTGATAAACATGGAAACCATATTGAAATGGGACTGCATGTGTTTTTTGGTTGCTACAGCAATCTTTTCCGTCTAATGAAAAAGGTTTGTCTTATCAGGGAATTTGACTTGTATCTAACAGGCCAACCGGAGTACCACTGAGTATATTATACTTTTAATAAACAGTTTTGCATTTCCTGATGTGAAATCCCTGATGTGAAATCGAACTTAGTTCTGGGTATGCTTGCTAACAGATAAAATAGTTGGGATATAAAAACTCAGTAATCAAGTCTTGGAATTGTTGCATTACTTCTTTTATTGCTGATGGTTTTACTATTACTTCAAAATATTGTCTTTTATTTTATCATTTTATGCAGTTTAGTATCTTACTGGTTTCTCTCAGTGATTATTCGAGTACTTTCTCATACTTAGAATATGGTTTTAGAGGCTTCTCATTCGTGCTACAATGCTATTTCGTCAGTAGGTTGAAATCACTTAAATACATTTTCCATGACTCAAGGAACATTTTTTCTACTGAGTTTATGGATTATTGCACTTTGATGATGATTGTTTTCCTGTGCTCCTTTAGTCCTGTTTCAATTGCTTGTTTCTCATGAACGCCTTACTTTTTGATCATTTTGTTCTGTAGATCCACAGTTGCCTAACTAAGACCTATAGCTATACTGCACTTTCACATTTTTTTCTTGCTGCCTGTTCCCATTAAATAGATGATTTATTATTACTGTTTCAGATGGCTTAGTTTGGGATGAATTATCTTCTTCTCGGTGTTGCTACCAAAGAGAAAGCATTTAAAACGGAGGGCTTCCGATGACCCGGTTAGGAGAGTAGAGGTATTAGATTTGACTTATGTTAAGAAAGGTAGAGGTAGACCTAAAAAGACTTGGTTAGAAAATATTAGGAATGACCTTTCTTTATTAGATTTAAACGAGAATTTTACTTTTAACAGGACACAATGGAGGAAAAGGATTCATGTAGCCGACCCCACGTAGTGGGATAAAGTCTTGATGTTGTTGTTGTTGTATTAGTCTAACAGATGTCAAATTCATGTTTCTGCATATTGAAAAACTTAGACAACCATTTATTTGATGGTTATAAAAGTTATTCCCTCGTTTTGGAAGATAATTGAAGATTTATCATAATAGATCATGCATTTCTGGTGTAGGATATCTTTTGAGATGGAACAATTTGTAATCCTTTGTGACACTTGCTTTAAGAGGCATAGAAGACAATTTGAATTTGATTATGGTTAATAGGGAATCATCATTCACACCTATTATATGAAAATTTAAGAATCAAAGTTGGGAAATGTCTGACAACTCACAGTTCAAATTTCTTAAATACATAATTGAACTTATTCTCATTTATCAAATTTGAATTTACTCCTTTTTTTCGTGGGGGTAAAGTTACTGCTGTTCAATAGAATGCTGCTAATGCTCATTTTGTCTTGGGATGTTTCAGGTGGGTGCTGATGGAAACCTGCTGCTGAAGGATCACACTCACACTTTCGTAAATAAAGGGGGTGACATTGGCGGTATGTAATATTTAACTATTTTGCTTGTGCTCAGACATCTTCGTACATTTTATCTCTGTTCATCTGGATGATGAAATGTGGATATAAAACAATAAGAAAAGCAGAAACTGATTATCTATACAACAAAATAGTAATTTGAGGTTTATTTTATGCATATACGTGAGTTTTGCTTTGCGATATTTGTGCAACTTATTAATTTTCTCAGATTGTGATGTTAGTGTTCACATATATTGAAAAGTCCAGATTTGTTAATGTTTTCTAACTGAAGTTATATGATAAAAAAAAATATCCCATTGTCCCATTCAGTATGCTTTAATAAATATAAGCAGAATAGCGTTAAGTGTTTTTTAATATATATATATATATTTATTCTTATTCTTAAATTCTGAAAATTGAACCAAAAAGTGTACACTTCGTGACTGTACTTGCAAACATTAGGTTAAAAGATCAACTGGTGCTTCATTGTCATGAATCAGCTCAGAGGCTGAAATTAATGAGGTAGAAATAGATGATTGAACGGAAATTTAATTTTTTATCTATTGGTGCCAACTAATATTAACATATTTAGTCGCACAACTTCAATATATAAATTATTTTTAAACCAAATGTAAGATAAACACCTTTCGCTTATAGTGTCACGTTTATGATAAATAGATTCTCTTCGATCCTCATTTAATTCTTAGTCACATATCATGAATATATTAATCACAACAATGATGAGTTGTCATCACTTAATGTATATATCATATATTTGAATCATAGTAACATAATGTGAATAAAAAATTCAATTATGTATACAACAATAACATAAAGCCTTTATGCCACTTGGTGGGGTCAACTACATAATCTTTTTTCTCCATTGTGTTTTGTTAAGAGTCAAATTCCCATTTAAATCTAATAAAGAAAAAGAAATTTCTAATATTTTCTAACCAAGTCTTTTTAGGTGCACCTTTCTTATAGGCCAAATTTAATACATCTACTCTCCTAACTGGGTCACAGAAGGCCAACATTTTGTGCATCCAAACCATCTAAGGCAACTATCTCTAAAATTATATTCCATTGGAGCCACTCCAATCTTTTCACGTATATGCTTGTTGCACATTTTGTCTCTAAGAGTGAAGCCATTCATCCACCCGAGCATTCTCATCTCTATAACACTTCACTTAATTTTTATGTTTCTCTTGTAGTGACAAATATTTTGCGCCATAAAGTATTGTAGATCTCACCACCATCTTATAAAAATTTCCCTTAAGTTTGAGGGATACTTTTCTATCACAAAGCAGGCCTTGAGCATTCCTTCACCTCAACCATCCAACTTGAATTCTACTAATAATATTCCCATCTATTTCAACATCACTTAAAACAATTGACCCGTGATATTTAAAACATGTACTCTTATTAATGACTTGATCATCCAAAGGCACAATCCCTCCACTATATCTATTACTGCTAGAATTACACCCCATGTATTCTGTTTTAGATATATTCAAACGAAAACCTTTAAACTCTAAGGTGGACCTCCATAATTCATGTTGTCTTTCAACTCCCTCTCTAGTCTTATCAACAAGAAGAAAATCATCAACAAAAAATTCAATATATATGATGATTAAAACTAAATTATCATAAATCATTTGACGATTCATTTTATTCAAATATGGCCAAATAAGAGTTTTAAAATCTTTCATCGTATCGTATCATGTCATATTATATTTAACTTTCTCATTTCGTAAATAATTTAACCATCACATAAGCCACCATCTAAATTGTACCATATGGGGTAGTTTATTTTTCATTCCCTTTTCCAATACTTTTTTTTTTTAATTTCTGCATGCGGGCATATTGCATCCCCAACAAGCTCTTTAAGGGGGATGTTATTAGTTAGCATGCAAGCACTCCTATATACATTATTTTATTTGCATTCTTCGTATCATTCCATATTTTTATATAACGAGCCTTATATGACATACGATAATGAGTGAAATATATTTATTAATTTCATCCATGTTAACATGCTCAATTTTTTGTATTAGAGATCAATCATAAATGGATTTGTAATAACAATGAGTTGAATTAGTATTGATAATAATTGTGTATTAGATTAAGAAAAGCAAAATCATTATTATAAATTAGTAATATGAATACCCACCTTAATTTTATATAATTTGGTGATTCACTCTAATCCTTATTTCATCTTCATTAGTTTGATACCTAAATAATTATGTATAAAACATTGTTATATATATTATAATAATTTACTCATATTATTTAATAATATCTATCTCTCTTTTATTAACTTATAAAGTGGTCCGTAAGTAGTCTAAGAAATCAATATATAATATAAAGATTTTAGTTTTTAATGATTTATATAATTTATTAGATACGAAGGAGGGTGAAAGATATATGTACAAGTTAGCCAAACATAGAGACAAGAGTAGTAAGGATTTATTTTAAGTGAAGTGTATTAAGGATGAAGATAAAAAAAATACTTTTAAAGGTGGATGAGATATTTTTATAAACTCTTCAAAGAAGATTACGAGAATGCGATTGACTTTAGTGATCTTAGTATCCTAAATGAAAATACATATTTTTATTTTTATCGGTGTATTAGTAAAACCAATGTTAGAGAGACTTTAAAGAAAATAAACTGTGGAAAAGCTTTTGGACCTGATGATATCCTAATAGAGGTGTGGAAATGCTGAGGAGAAGCATGAATTTTTTAGCTTACTAAACTTTTTAATATTGTTTTGAAGACTAAAAATATGTCAGACTAGTGGAGAATGAGTGTGTTAATTCCTATTTTTAAGAATAAAGATGATGTGCAAGTTGCACAAATTATAGAGGAATTTAGTTAATGTGTCATATTTTAAAATTATGGGAGAGTTATGGAGCATAGATTACAGCGTGATACTAATGTTTCTCAAAATCAATTTGGATTCATGCCGAGTAGGTTTGTTATGACAGCTATACATTTATTGAGATGTTTGATGGAGAAGTATAGAGAGAATAAGGAGGATCTACTTATGATATTTATTGATTTAGAGAAAGCATAGGATAAAGTTCCAAGAGAAGTGCTATGGAGAGTTCTAGAAAAGAAAGGGGTTAATAATGCTTATATTCAAATCATTATGGATATGTATGCAGCAGCTGTTACTTGCATCCAGACACAAGGTGGTTTGATCAAGTATTTTCCTATTTTAGTTGGATTACATCAATGATCAACCTTAAGCCCATATCTTTTTTCTTTAGTCATGGATGTTCTCGCTAGACATTTGCAAGAGGTTGTACCCTGGTGTATGCTTTTTGCTGATGATATTCTTCTTGTTGGTAAAACTAGAGAGAGAGTTGAAGGTAAACTTGAATTATGGAGGTTAACTGTAGAGTCTAAAGGCTTTCATTTGAGTAGATCTAAAACCGAATATATGAAATATAATTTTAGTAATAATAGTTCTAGTAGGAGGATTGTTACTTTGGGTGATCAAGTCATTAATAAAAGTACACATTTTAGATATCTTAGATCTTTTGTTCAGAGTGATGGTGAAATAAATCGGGATATTATTAGTATAATTCAGGTTAGATGGTTGAAGTGGAGGAATGCATAGAGCTTGTTGTGTGATAGAAAAATCTCTCTCAAACTTAAGGGAATATTTTATAAGATGGTAGTCAGACCTGCAATGCTTTATGGTGCAAAATGTTGGCCATTAAAAGAGAAGAATAATATTAAGTTAAGTGTTTCAGAGATGAGAATGCTCAGGTGGATGAGTGACGTTACTCTTAAAGACATGGTACAAAATGAGCATATACGTGAAAAAGGTTGGAATAGCTCCAGTGGAAGATAAGATTAGATAGAGTCGCCTTAGATAGTTTGGTCGCATAAAACGACAGCCTTTCGATGACCCGGTTAGGAAAGTAGATGTATTATATTTGACTTATGTTAAGAAGGTTATAAGCAGACCTAAAAAGACTTGGTTAGAAAATATTAGAAATGATATTTTTTTAATAGATTTAAATGAGAAATTAACTTCTAATATGGCACAATGGAGAAAAATGATTAATGTAGCCGACCTAATATAGTGGGATAAAGGCTTAATGTTGTTGTTGTTTTATACCTTGTAGTGAATTTAATGTATTTGCTTTGAGCCAGTGGCCATTAAGGCCGCACATCATTGGTTGAAATATTTGAAGTGTGTTAGCATATTTTTTGACAATATGTTTTGACAATATGGTGTTACTATGTCATAAGTTTGTCATATTGATCTCTATTGCAGAACTTGATTTTAGATTTCCGATTGGAGCACCTATTCATGGCATTCGAGCATTTCTAGCTACCAATCAACTGAAGGTATGGGGACTCCTTTAGGAGGTGACAAGCAGTTTGTTTACTGTAATGTGCCTGCTAGATTTTTCTAATAAAACAGTTTATTTTTCTTGATTATCATCACCTATATTATGTTTTTATCAATTTACACTATTATTTTGTTTCTGTCCCCTTTAAAGTTTATATCTTGGTCTGTATTTCCTTGTTTTAACAGCCTTATGACAAAGCAAGGAATGCACTCGCTCTAGCTCTAAGCCCCGTTGTTAGGGCTGTTGTTGATCCAGATGGAGCATTACAGGACATAAGGAACTTAGATAATGTAAGCAAAAATTATAATTATAGAATTTTCACTAAGTATAGTATAGTGACTTCCACATCCAATTGTCTCTTGTTGTTCATTTAGAAAAGTAATATTCTTAGAATTGAGAAGTCATAAAAATAGAAACTTTTGATCTACAAAACAAAATTTCTTTTCTATGCTATTTGTGAATTGGAATCATGTCTCAGACAATGTAAGCAGGGAAACTGTGAAGTTTCCTTGGTTATCTTCTGCCTGCGCATTTATTAATTATTCTTTTGCCAATGTCAGTTTTGTTTATAATTATGTTTGTCCCAACATTCCAGGTCAGTTTCTCTGATTGGTTCTTGTCCAAAGGTGGTACTCGTGCAAGCATTCAAAGAATGTGGGATCCTGTAGCTTATGCCCTTGGTTTCATTGACTGTGATAATATAAGTGCTCGATGTATGCTCACCATTTTTGCTCTGTTTGCCACCAAAACTGAGGCTTCTCTCTTGCGAATGTTGAAGGGTTCACCTGATGTTTACTTAAGTGGTCCTATAAAGAAATATATAACCGACAAAGGTGGTCGGTATGTGGGGGACAAAATTTTTAATAAAATCGTTATTATTTTTAGTGATCAAGGTGATTCTTTTTAGAATTTGGCCTGAAGCATCTGCTGCTGCCGCAGGTTTCACTTAAGATGGGGTTGCAGACAAGTATTATTTGAGAAATCTGATAATGGAGATGCTTTTGTTACGGGACTTGCCATGTCCAAGGTTAGCTATAAGGTTTTTCTTTTGATATTGGATCCTTATATTTCGAGTAAAAAATAGCTCATAGATAGTAAGGGTGGGCAATGGTGCAATGGTTAGGTTATACCTTTGTAACATGAAAGTCACGGCTTCCAAATTAATTCAAAGTTAATACAGATTTTTTTATGATTTGTAATGGTTTTGATTTCCAATGAATATACTGATTGAAGTACATATTCAAGTGGGATCCCAGAAGTGGTCCAATTTCCTGACTTATTATATTTGCTTGATGCACGGCTAACTCTTTATGAAAACTGATGTAATTCCATCCTTGAATGGCTTCTTACCGGAGCTGGTAATGAATGGTACCTTTCTAGCTTTGAAGGCTGTAGAAAACCATTGATCAAAGAAAGAACCCCAAAAAAAAAAAAAACTTGAGAATAATTGTATTCTTACAAAGAGAGCAAAATCCACGGTTTTTTTTAAATAATTAACAAATGTCTCTGCCTCAACTTTGAAAATTTCAGGCCACGGAGAAGAAGATTGTGAAAGCTGACGTCTATGTTGCAGGTCTGTGAATACTGATATGTAAGTTTCTGACTTATCGACCTTTTGGACCTTATGTGCTGAGGTTGTGTTCTTAATTGTCAGCATGCGATGTCCCTGGAATAAAAAAATTGATTCCAGCTCAATGGAGAGAATGGGATATATTTGACAATCTGTTCAAGCTAGTTGGAGTTCCCGTTGTAACTGTGCAGCTTCGCTATAATGGCTGGGTGACAGAGTTGCAAGATATTGAGAGGTCAAGGTAACTACCTGCGGGCAAGCTAATTTTGTTTTTTTTTTTGTTTTTAATCAGTATGCTTATTTCTCTCAATTGGGGGCAGAATTTCAGTTTTCATACATTTATTTGTTAAATACTTGCAGCTAAAATTCTGATTATTTGAAAAGTTTTAGTATTTGACTTCTACAAGAGTAGTCATAATCATTCCTTTGCTCACTCCAACTTCTCAGACAAATGAGACAAGCCGTCGGTTTGGATAATCTTCTCTACACGCCCGATGCCGACTTCTCCTGTTTTTCTGATCTTGCGCTTGCATCACCTGAAGATTACTACAGAGAAGGGCAGGGTTCCCTCATCCAGTAAGTGACTTTCTTAATGTTTTGGAAGTTTGTTAGCCTTGTCTTATTTTTCCCCTATTCTTAAAATTTTATTTGAGATTCTTTATCCCTAAATTTTAATTGTTACCGTTTCTTAGCTAATTCTCGCTAGGTCATTTTTCTTGCAGAGCTGTTCTTACACCCGGTGATCCCTACATGCCCCTGCCTAATGATGAAATTGTAAGGAGAGTTCAGAAACAGGTCAGTTGTTAAATTGAGATCATACCCTTAAAGTCTCCTTTTTTATGTGAAGTCTGATTTAGGTGGTAATAGCGTTGAGTTTGAATTTGGATCTGGTGTTTGATAAGGCAGATAAGCCACCATTTTGTCACCATGCCTGGAAATTCACTTATGTAGTCTACAAATGAATCTGTAACCTAATAGTTTAGTGATTGTTTATGAACAAGAATTTGTTTTAGCCTGCTATTGTTAGGATTGTAGGTACTTGATAGCAAAAGCGGGCACGGAAAATGCAGCACAACAACAACAACAAGCCTTTTTATACCACTGTGGGGTAGGCTGCATGAATCTTTTTTCTCTATTGTGTCATGTTAGGAGTCAAAATTCTCTAAATCTAATAAAGAAATATTATTTCTAATATTTTCTAACCAAGTTTTTTTAGGTCTACCACTACCTTTCTTAGCATAAGTCAAATCTAATACATCTACTCTCCTAATCAGGCCATCGAAAGTCCGCCGTTTTATGTGAACAAACCATCTAAGATGACTGTCTCTAATCTTATCTTCCACTGGAGCTACTCTAACCTTTTCACTTATATGTTCATTTCATATTGTGTCTCTTAGTGTAAAACCACTAATCCACTTGGGCATTCTCATCTCTGTAACACTTAACCTAATTTTATGATTCTCTTCTAATGGCCAACATTTTGTGCCATAAAGCATTACAGGTCTCAACACCATCTTATAGAATTTCCCTTAAGTTTGAGGGGGACTTTTCTATCACACAACAGGCAAGATGCATTCCTACACTTCAACCATCCAACTTGAATTCTACTAATAATATTCCCATCTAATTCGCCATCACTTTGAACAATAGACCCAAGATATCTAAAACGTGTACTCTTATTAATGACTTGATCACCCAAAGTCATAATCCCCTCACTAGATCTATTACTATTAAAATTACACTCCATATATTTGATTTTAGATATACTCAAACAAAAATCCTTTAAACTCTAAGGTTGACCTCCATAATTCTCTCTCTCTAGTCTTATCAAAAAGAAGAATATCATCAGCAAAAAGTATACACCAGGGTACAACCTCTTGCAAATGTTTAGTGAGAACATCCATGACTAAAGCAAAAAGACACTGGCTTAAGGCTGATCCTTGATGTAATCATGTAATCCAACTATTCAATGGAAAATGCCTAGAAGAATAAAAAAATAGGAACAAAAATATTTACTTGATTAAGTTAAATAGTATTTCCTATGTCCATGAGCTTGTTGAGAGATAATTTCTGCCACTTCTGAGATGAGTTCAAAATCAATTATAAAGTACTAATACTTCCTCTCCCTTTTCCTCCCTCTTTATTTTTCTTGTCTTATTTATTTATTTTATCTTGCTTACTTTTTCATGAGGGCAAACTCAAACCACATTGCTGCTCTAGCAAAACAGATGGTAAATGATAAAAAAAATGTTGTGTATCCACTAGTTTATAAACTTATTGTTTTTGCACTGACGTTACCAGTTGCTACTGCTACGGTGGAAAGAACATTTTCTGCAATGAAGATCATTAAGCATCGACTTCGTAGCAAAATGGGCGATGCTTGGCTTAATGACTGTCTAGTGCCATATATTGAAAAAGAAGTATTTGATTCTGTTCCGAATGAAGTCATTATGCAACATTATCAGAAAATGCAAAGTAGAATGCAGAGTTTGTAGTTTTCTTTTTAATTTCAAAAATTATGATGAAATATAATACTTTGTTTTGAATTTTGTTAGTGAAATATATCTATATTTTTTGTATTTATATTTTTATATATATCGAGTTTGCCCACCCTAAAAAAAAGGGCTGGATCCGCCACTGATCTCTACCTTTTAAGATTCTCTGAATTAAAAAACTTACGATTTCTTTTCAACGGAAATAAAGTGCAGTAAACCTTAATGATTCTACCTCAATTAGAAGACCTTCACCTTCTTGATTCCAAATGTAGCCAGAACTTTGTTCCTCTTTCTTTCCCCTTGCATTCAAGTCTGCCTGAGCAACATCAGGAAGGGCATAAGGCTTTTCAGCCTGGCCCGGAACTACCATTTCTACATCTGAGTCACTTTCATCTTGCAAAGGTTCACATTGGGGATCAATTTCTGGCAAAAATTTTCTCATTTGGGATGTATATTATTGGATAAATCATAAATGTTTGACAAATGACAATTATATTACTTAACAAAATGTTTATCGAAATCATGACATTGCTAACGTAGTAAACATACAAAGTTAAATGCTCAGAGGAAGATTGAAATAATTGTATGAAGACATATCAGTATATCACTAACAAGTAGGTGGTTGTTTGGACCGTCAATGATTTCCTTTGATATGATATTTGAGATTCCTTATTTACCTTTAGGCCTAATAAGTGAGAACAACAAATTAATGAAGAAGCAATGGCAATTCAATGAACAAAAAAGCAACAAGTTAATTTGCTAAGTTGATGTAGACAAAGGGGAGGGTCAAATCAAACCCAAAAAATTTGATTTTTGACTTCTCCAGCTCATTAATGTCAAGAGGAAGGTAGCTCATTATGAGCTGGTTTTTAGTTCATTTATGGAGCTAAAAATTAGCTCATTATTTCTTTGATCTTGTCTATTCTCCTTCCCCTCTTTGTCTATTCGTTTCCCGTGGTTGGCTCTTGGGTTTTCATGCCTTGGCTCTTTGGTTTCCACGGTTGGCTGATTGTTTCCTGTGCTGAGGGCTGTTCCCGTGCCTTTGCTTTGAAGAACCGTGGTTGGCTCTTTTTTGCTCCCTTGGTTCCATGACCGGCTGCTGGTTTCCTGTGCTGGGAGGAGTTCCGGTGCCTTCCCCTTTGGTTCCTGCAGCTGGGCTCCTCGGTTCCCTGCTTGGTCCCTGGCTGGGCTGTTTTTCGTGGCTGTGATGCTTTGTTTTCTGGAGTGATTGTTGGCTTTTCATCTCCCTCATTTAATATAGAATTTGAAGAGATTTTGGGGCTTTTTTTTTGACAAAATTTGAACAGTTTTTTGGACTGATTTGGTGGCTGTTTTGCGAGGAATTCCAAGAGAATTTTGCTGATTTTTGTGCAGTTTTCTACTGCAGTTTTTGAGTGTCTTTTAGCTTTCTTATTGGCGTCTTTTGACCTTCCATATTCCCTAATATTTGGGCTGTTTGGCTGCCCTTTTTGTGCCTATAAATAGTGATGTTTGTGGCTGTTTTAGATATGTTATATGAATGATTTTTGGAAATGTAAACCTGCGGGTTTTGTTGGAAAAGCTTGCGAGCTTGTTCCATTCTCCTTCTCATCTCCTCTAGGAAAGACTTGCGAGTTCTTTCCACCATTCTTCTCGGCTTCTAACCTCTTTCGTCTCTACGCAAGTACCACCTCACCTGTATCCTTCTTCTAATGGATGAAAGCTTCTTTAGGTGTTCGTTTTGAAGTCATAAATTTGTCAAATGTTTGTAAGCGTCAAAGTTTGTAAGAGTCCTTGTTTGTAAGTCCTTTTATAATATTAAAGTTGTGTTTTATTTGTTAGTTATATTTTGTCAAGTTTTGAGTATTTTATGTCTTTCTATCATCCTAGAAAGATATTGCTTTTTGTGATAAAAAATTTGGGGCCCTCTCCCAAATTTTTGATTGCATTATAAGTGGGAACACCAAATTAACAAATAAGCAATGACAATTCAATGAATTTAGGAGTAACAAGTTGATTTTTGTCATTCCACACTTTTTCAAGTAGCTTGTAACTTAGAGGACCTTAAGGGTTCTTTGTTGGTCAGATAAGCTTTAATGCTCACAACATCGATTCAAATACTCTTGGGGAATCCTGTCTGCAACTTACGCTTTTAGATCTTTGGTTCAGAGATTTGTTCATGCACATCCAATTCTTTTTGTGGTGTTCTTGGAACCACCTTCTCCATACATATTCCGCTAGATGTTAAATTCTCTAAACTTGTATTCTCCTCCAATATGTTCTCAGGCACTTAATCTTTGCACCTGGCTCATTCTTAAATGTACATAACCATCTTTTGAAACAAATAAACATGTGAGAAATTGACTTTTTTCTATTTTCTACGGTAACAATCTTAACAAAAATCAGAATCCAAAGACTTCAAAAAGTTTAAAGTTTATCATGTGAATGTGGCATTCTCACCCCTCTTACTCATGTGCCACAACTTTCGTCACTATGCTTATGAATCAATATTTGAGAGTTGTTGTCATGTATATGAATCAATATTTGATACTATAATTACTATCATGTGTTACATCCTATGATGCACGGACACGGACACGGCGACACGGACACGACACGAGGCACGGCTTTTTTTTGAAAATATAGGACACGGGTACGGCGCGGACACGGCAATACATTTTTTTTATATAGTGTATATATATTAATGTAATATCATATTAAAAATGACTAACAATAATAAATGAATGACATGAAAACTTGTCTAGCTTATAATATAAAATATTTAGTACAAAATATCTAGTACAACCACAAAAATATAAGCAAATAATCACTTACTACAACATCAAGAATTCAAGCTTCGACTACTAGGATTAGCTTTAGAGGTTTGTTTTTGGCCTTCAATATCATATTCAACTCTGGTTCAACAAGAGAAAGATTTGTAATTGTGCAAAAAGAGAGGAGATGAAAATGCCTTCACTGCCAAAGAGAAATGAAAATGAGAATATTCGATGAATGGTTATTAAATGCATACGTTGATTTGGTGTTGTGGATAAGAAATAAGAAATTCAGTTTAAATCTCACCAAATATAAGAAATTATATTTTAAAAAATTATAAAATATTTAAGATACGCGTGTCGGACACACGTGTCCAATTTGTTTTAAATATTTTTTTAATCGGACACGTTTTCGACGTGTCCGACAAATGTCGGAGGAGTGTCGGACGAGTGTCGTGTCGGACACGGTGTCGGACACTGCACGCCTCTTTGAGGAGAAGTGTTGGTGCATGATAGGTTACATCTTTACTACAATGGGTTATTATCA